AGGTCCTGCCCCCAGGCCTGCTTAGGAAGCTGCTACCATCAGGTCCTGGCCCACATTTGCCAACCTTGGTCTCTCAGGCCTCCAAGTGCAGGGTTAAGATGGTTTATCGCATCCCTATAATGTCCCTTTAAAGCTCCTATAGATGGCAGGGGGACATTGGGAAAGGCTTAATTTTGTGTCTGTTTGCCAATTTCCTAAAGAAGCATGTTAAATTTGACATAAAACTTGAAACGGAAACATAGCAGTATTGTTTACTTTGTAGGGGGCAGAATTCTTTGTACAGTGCAGGCCCCTCCCACACAGTCCGGAGGGTAAGTCCGTCTGCTCCCACCCGCATTCCAGCATTGCGGCAGCCTTCCGATTTCCCAAAAACGGCACATTCAGTCTCGGAGCAGTCGGTGGATAATAAAACATCTACTCTAAATACGGGGATAATTCTGCCGGTTTTTCTAGTTTTGTTCAAGGAATGAAATCTATGTGCCTGACCATGATTAAACAGTTTTGCAAACCAAGTTAGTAGAGGGAATTTTCTATAAGCCTACCTGTTAAACCAGAGGCGTGTCATTGGTTAAAAGGGCAGTTGTGTTGCACTGTGCCCCACTAATTTTGTTTGCTATCTGGCAAAAGGTGATACTTAACTTGGCTATTCCAAATGTCCATATTGGTATTTTTCTGCTTCACATCAGATTTGATTCCTGCTGTCCACTCAGAATTATAAATGCTCTAAGTCTTTAAAGGACATTATAAATTAGTTCTCAGGTAAACAGGTTTGACCTGGATGAGTCATATTTCCCCTCAGTTAGAACCTTAATCATTTTTACATAGCAAGATGCCTTTATGGCAAACTTCTAGCTTTTTAACTTTGAACCTGGTTCGGTCAGAGGGACAGTCCTGATCTACACTGACGCTTATGCTTGTATCTTTCAACTACATTGCCAAATTCATGTGCCATCTGTGCGTTACGTCCTGAAGCTCCTGCACCTTCACAATCGCTCCTCTGCTGTGCTGTCAGTCATCCATCCTTCTCCCCACATTCATCTGTGCTCCCCACAAGCTTGTCTAGGCCTCCCCTAAACTGCCTCCTCTCCCTGTCCCCCCCTCCGCCCCCCAACCCTTGTCACCGGCAGTGGACCGTATAGTCGGCCTGGATCAGGTAGCTGGGATGAATGAGACCACCTTTGGCGCCACCTACAAGACCAAGAAGGGCATGTTCCGCACGGTGGGCCAGCTGTACAAGGAGTCCCTCACCAAGCTGATGGCCACACTGAGGAACACCAACCCCAACTTCGTCCGCTGCATCATTCCTAACCATGAGAAGAGGGTACAACTTCTCTCTCATTTCCTATCACTTATAATCAGACTCCTCAACCCTAATTGGCCATTCTGTATCTTACTACACCAATTAGAAACCACCATTTACTTACCTCTATGAACACGCTAAATTTTCTTTAAAAAATATTGCAGGTCTTTAATCAACCCTAACAACTACTGAACACAATCTCTTCCTGCCCCCAGGCAGGTAAACTGGACCCCCACCTGGTTCTGGACCAGCTAAGATGCAATGGTGTTCTGGAGGGAATCCGTATCTGCCGACAGGGCTTCCCCAATCGGATAGTCTTCCAGGAGTTCAGACAGAGGTACCCCGGCCTCCTTCACCTTATGTCTATGGAAAGCACTATGTTCGGTTTGTGTCATCATCTGCTGTTAACACTCAGCACAGTGTGGTCAGCTGATGTCATGGGAGGATCTTCACACTTCCTAAGTTTGCCTCTCAGCTGTTGTAACATTAATGTTCTAGACAAAGCCTGTTACCTGACTATGTATTACTTTTTCCACAGATATGAGATACTCACCCCTAATGCCATCCCAAAAGGATTCATGGATGGTAAACAAGCTTGTGAGAGGATGGTAATGGTCTATTTTGCCCTGCACAGTTTAATATGACTCAAAATTCCTTGACCTCTTGTTTTGAAGCATGTTTAATGAGCTACGTTCTGCATCTGCCTTGGAGCTACGTTCTCTAACCTCTTGCCGGCATTCCCTCGCTACCCAAGATCCGAGCTCTGGAGCTGGACCCAAACCTCTTCAGGATCGGACAGAGCAAGATCTTCTTCCGGGCTGGAGTTCTGGCCCACCTGGAGGAGGAGCGGGACCTAAAGATTACAGACATTATCATCTACTTCCAGTCTGTCTGTCGTGGCTTCCTGGCCCGAAAGTGAGTGATATCCAGTTTGCCACTGCACAAAGACTCGCAAATACATCAGAGATGCAGTGGCATCTGGGGTCTCTTCCCCAGGCTGTTCACCACCACTCTACTGCGGACTGTACAGTGGTTATTTCCCTCAGCACAGTTGTTTTTTCTTTGGGACCCCCAGGCAGTGCACAGTTTTGCTCCCCCTCATCTCCCAACATCCCTGTGCTAAGTATTTGATATTCTTGATTGGCTGGGAGCTGGGAGGGAGCAAAAACGTGGGCATTTTGGAGGGTCCCCGAGGGTTGGGTTGAGCAACACTGCCTTAAAATATTGAATCTCGATGCAATGGCCGCAGTAGTCATTCTGGTTAAGGGCATCAGCTATTTAATTACCATGCTGCTAAATTCCGCTGCGTAGCTCCCACAGACCTAAGTGTTCCACCATGTTTACTTTCCCAGAGCCTTCGCTAAAAAGCAGCAGCAGCTCAGTGCCCTGAAGGTCCTGCAGAGGAACTGCGCAGCCTACCTGAAGCTGAGACACTGGCAGTGGTGGCGCCTCTTCACCAAGGTGGGCGCTCTTCTGCTTCCCATTGGCTGGCCCGTGGTAGCTGCCTACTGGAATACTGGAATGCCCTCACTGACAATGGTGCTCTTGCTCTGTAGGTGAAACCTCTGCTCCAAGTGACCAGGCAGGAGGAGGAGATGCAGGCCAAGGATGAGGAGTTGGTCAAGGTGAAGGAGAAGCAGATGAAGGTGGAGAACGAGCTGCTAGATATGGAGAGAAAACATCAACAGGTTAGTTGTCTTGGCAAAGTAAGTTTATTTAACCATGAAAATTATTAGTAAATCAGTCGTTCAAATCTGTGAGCAAGATGGATTTATCATTCCAATGTGGTCCAAGAAATGCTAACTCTCGCTGAAATTGACAAAAATGGTCAGTGTGTCAATGCTCTGCACATATAACCACAGGTTGTGGAGGAGAAGAACATCCTGGCAGAGCAGCTGCAGGCAGAGACTGAGCTGTTTGCAGAGGCTGAGGAGATGCGAGCGCGGCTAGCTGCCAAGAAGCAGGAGCTGGAGGAGATCCTGCATGACCTGGAGGCCCGTGTGGAGGAGGAGGAGGAACGCAACCAGAGCATGCAGAATGAGAAGAAGAAGATGCAGGCGCACATCCAGGTGGGTCCCAGAGCGTACTTCCTCGCATGCATGGTTGTGCTGCACGGTCGTGATGGTGTGTTGTGTCCCAGTCCAAATTAAATTCAGTCATCTGAAGACAACTTGAAGAATTATGTTTAGTGACCGTTTTGCAGACAGTACTGTTTTAAACAGCTAAAAGTGAGGTGTCTGTTTTTGTATGACTGCCTACAGGATCTGGAAGAACAGCTGGATGAGGAGGAAGCTGCCAGGCAGAAGCTGCAGCTGGAGAAAGTGACTGCTGAAGCCAAGATCAAGAAGATGGAGGAGGACATCCTGCTTTTGGAGGACCAGAACTCCAAGTACACAAAGGTATGTGTACAGGCGGGCAGCACTAGTGGCGAGGCAACATTTCTGGTTCACTGCAACATGGGGCTCAGCCACACTACTTCTGTCTCTGCAGGAGAAGAAACTTCTAGACGATCGCGTCAATGAGATGACTTCCCAGCTGACTGAGGAGGAAGAGAAAGCCAAGAACCTTAGCAAGTTAAAGAACAAGCAGGAGATGATGATGGTAGATTTGGAAGGTGGGCCTGTACAGATGTTAACCCTTCAACTTGCTTTCATACTTGAAGCTGCTGCAAATGAAACAGAAGCTTGTTATCACCTTGTGTTATGAACACAATGTCTGTGCAACTCAGAGCGCCTCAAGAAGGAGGAGAAGACGCGCCAGGAGCTGGAGAAGGCTAAGAGGAAACTGGATGCAGAGACCACTGATCTCCAGGACCAGATTGCTGAGCTGCAGGCCCAAATAGAGGAGCTGAAGATCCAGCTGGCCAAGAAGGAGGAGGAGCTACAGGCCGCACTGGCCAGGTGGGTCACATTCAAGCCTACAAATTATGCTCTTTCTGTAATTTTATATACTTATTAGAACTGAACTGAGAAAGCACTTTCTTACACAGCATGTAGTTAGAGTATGGAATAGTCTTCCTGCTAGTGTAACACAAGCTAAAACCCTGGGTTCCTTTAAATCAGAGCTAGATAAGATTATAACAACTCTGAGCTATTAGTTAAGTTCTCCCCAAACAAGCTTCATGGGCCGAACTGCCTCCTCTCGTTTATAAATTTCTTATGTTCTTATGAAACATCTGCTCCCTCAATTGTCCTGAGAGCCACGTGACTGTCTAGTGATGCTACTCCTCTCTGCTAGAATAGCGCCAAGCAACTAGGATGACACACATTTATGTATTCATATTCTTTGTTTTCAAAGGTACCGAATTTGTTTGGGAACACAAAGTGACCACTATTTTATTCGTGTTAGTGGTTGAATTTAAAGTGATTTATTAAGGACTGAGTTCATGTTGGCAATATGAGCTTCTCCTGGTCTGATCGTCATCTTTAATGCTCATGAGCAACATTTTTATCAAGATCATTAGGAGGAAGCAGCCTGCCTACAGATTTAGGTTCTGCAGATCTACTTAATGAAGGTCAACTAATTAGTTATCAGGCTGAGAAAATGAGTGAATTAGAGCTTGTCTCATGTTCCCACTTCCTCATTTTCTATGGGCATCTTTTCTTTAGGCTCCTCTCTTTTCTATTTTACCTACCGTTTGACAGGAGCTGAACTGATTGGTTTTACTGTTAGAAGCTAGTATTATCTGTACTGTGAGGCCTTGGAGATTTTTTACAGATTTTTTACTGATTTTTATTTTATTTTACTCCTGTCCTAGAAGGTCTCTATAATGCAATTGCTCTCCACAACAAACATGCTATATCATCATGGTGATTTCCATCTTGTTTCACCCCTGTGTCCTCTGTGTGGTGTCACCTTATGTTCACTGCACTGCCACCTTGTGGTCAGTAGTGATTATTAATGGGAGGTTCACCAGTTATTTAGGCAGATGCAAAACATTATTATATACTTTTACCATAGAGATAATTGCAACAAATTATAAAGTACAAAGTGTGTTGTTAAAGCCATTTAGGGGGTTGTGTGATAATGTGCTTAATGCTTAGTTAATGCAGCAGTTTTTATAAGGATAATTGACTCTGTGTGTTTGTGTGTGTGTGTGTGTGTGCATTAGAGGTGACGAGGAGGTCGCCCAGAAGAACAATGCCCTGAAGCAGGTGCGTGAGCTGCAGGCCCAGCTCGCTGAGCTGCAGGAGGACCTGGAGACCGAGAAGATGGCCAGGAACAAGGCCGAGAAGCTTAAGAGGGACCTCAGCGAGGAGTTGGAGGCCTTGAAGACGGAGCTGGAGGACACGCTGGACACCACCGCTGCCCAGCAGGAACTCAGGTAGGCTGGCGAGGTCAGTTTGCGGGCGCTAACCTGAAGGCCCATATGCTGTCCTGCATTGTGAATGTGTCCATTCTGGAAGGCTCGCTGCGTATGTAGTGTCCTCCTGACCCAATGTCACAGCTGGCCTGGTTTTGAGTAGATGAGTCAAGTAAGAGCCGTCAGGAGAGCATTTATTCAAAACAACCAGAAAAAAATGTCATCAGATGCATTCGAAAACTGTAGGTCAGGTTTCCTCTGTTGTAGCAATTACACAATGAACAGCAGGGGATCTATGCAATGGAATATTGTAATTTAGCACAATCTGGTGTTCTGTATCCTTTTGTTAATTTGACTGTGTGATGGGGCTGGGTCAAACTTTCCATCCCTATTGCCACTTTAGGACCAAGCGAGAGCAGGAGGTAGCAGAGCTGAAGAAAGCCATCGATGAGGAAACCAAGAACCACGAGTCCCAGATCCAGGACATGAGGCAGAGGCACTCAACTGCTCTGGAGGAGCTGTCAGAGCAGCTGGAGCAGGCCAAGAGGGTGCGTCCAAGAGCCGGGCCCTGTTCAGCTGAACATCTGCTCTGCCATTTGTAAGATTAACACAGCAGGCAAAATGATAGGATGTGTAAACCCATCGACTCTGTGTGCAGTTCAAAGGTAACCTGGAGAAGACCAAGCAGACCTTGGAGAGCGACAACAAGGAGCTGGGGAATGAGGTGAAGGGGCTGCAGCAGGCCAAGGCCGAGTCGGAGCACAAGAGGAAGAAACTGGAGGCCCAGCTGCAGGAGTTTGTGGCCCGGGTCACCGAAGGCGAGCGGGCCAAGAGCGAGCTGGGAGAGCGCTCTCTCAAGCTGCAGGTCTGCCTCCAACTGCCTCTCTTCCATCACAATAACAAGGCACACTTCAGAGGCAATAGCTGCACTGATATAGCGGGCAGATGTCATCAGTGTAGATCAGCAGATTAGTCCTGCATGATGATTTGTTTATTTGAAAGTCTGCCGACATAATGGTACCGCAAATTATTCAGGGAGGTTGATTAACTTTGAGACCAATGTGCTGATTGCCCGGGAGTCACCCATGTGATATAATTTGACTTGCATCATTCATTTAAGACCTTTAAATGTCTGATGGGCAGATAAGGTCATGGCCGTAATGTCTCTGTTCATCTGGCTCCATGCAGATGGAGTTGGACAACGTGTCAGCACTGCTTGAGGATGCAGAAAAGAAGGGGATCAAAATGGCCAAGGATGTGGCCAGTCTGGAAAGCCAGCTGCAGGACAACCAGGTGGGTGACGCCAGGAGTGTCTGCATTGTCCCAGGTGTCTGTGCTTTGTGCATCAGGAATAAACAACCTTGGTTCTCAGATTTTATATGGATCTGTTATAATTTACACCTCTGATGCTGAGTTGATGTAAATAATAAATTAAGGCTTTAAGAATTGAGGTAAAATTGTATATATAGGAATAAAGGCGCCCTTTATGTCTGTAAAATGACACTAGATGAGAGCTCATTGTTTTACAAAGAAGGCACTCGACCCAATAGTTTGATTGGGCGTGAGACCTTATTTGAACATGCTGCACATTAAGCGTCATACTGCTGCTGGCAGAGGGACAAACCGCCTGATCTGATGGCCTCGAACACTCAGGCCTCTCGGGGATGTGCTTGCAGGAGTTGCTTCAGGAGGAGACTCGTCAGAAGCTGAACCTCAGCAGCCGCATCAGACAGTTGGAGGAGGAGAAGAGCAACCTGCAGGAGCAGCAGGAAGAGGAGGAGGAGGCGCGCAGGAACCTGGAGAAGCAGCTGGCCACTCTGCAGGCTCAGGTTAGGCAAACTGGCGAGGCAGTGCTCCTCAGCTCTGGGGGTGGATGGGTAGTGGCTGGGATAAGGGGTTAAAAGTGCTCTTGGATTGAAGCAGTCATCTCAAAACGAGGAACCATGTTTTACTTTTCTGTAGAACAGAAAAAGGGAGCAGAAATTAATCATCAATTTGAACAAAAAGCAGTGGAACGTTGTTCTGTGACAATGACAAAGGACTGCAAATTCATTGCTAATTCTGGAAAAATTTACCTTGCATCGTCATAGCATTTAATTTAAGTCAGAGTTGTCATCATTCCGTCTCCAGCTGACTGAGTCCAAGAAGAAACTGGAGGATGATGTTGGGACCATGGAGGGACTGGAAGAATTGAAAAAGAAGCTTCAAAAAGATATGGAGTTTACTAACCAGCGGCTGGAGGAGAAGGCCATTGCCTTTGACAAGATGGAGAAGACCAAAAATAGGCTGCAGCAGGAGCTGGATGACCTTCTGGTGGACCTGGACCACCAGAGGCAGATAGTCCAGAACCTAGAGAAGAAGCAGAAAAAGTTTGACCAGGTATTGATATCTATGAGCTTCCTATGTCTTTGATTGTAAGTTATTGAGTATGGTGTGAAGGTGGAGCTTTTATTGCTGGGTGGTTTCTGGTGAGAATCAGAGCTTGGTGACATGCCAAGTGCCTTCCTTCACTGCTGTGGTTTAGATGCTGGCCGAAGAAAAGAACATCTCTGCACGCTATGCAGAGGAGCGGGACCGGGCCGAGGCAGAAGCCCGGGAGAAGGAGACCAAGGCTCTGTCACTGGCCCGCGCGCTGGACGAGGCCCTGGAGTCCAAGGAGGAGTTTGAGAGACTGAACAAGCAGCTGCGCACAGAGATGGAAGACCTCATGAGCTCCAAAGATGATGTGGGGAAGAATGTAAGCGGTGGTACTTGACTTTTGTGTTGAAACTGGGGCCTGTGTTGGTATGGCAAAGACCATGAGGACCACTTTCTAGACAGTGTGTCCTTGCATATCGGGACAAAAACATATTTCTGTTCGACCTTGTTAATGGGTGAGATGTTGGCGATTGACCGCCTGCTTTCGGTTGTCATGTTCACAGGTCCACGAACTGGAGAAGTCCAAGCGAACCCTAGAGCAGCAGGTGGAAGAGATGCGCACCCAGCTAGAGGAGCTGGAGGATGAGCTGCAGGCCACTGAGGATGCCAAGCTGAGGCTGGAGGTCAACATGCAGGCCATGAAAGCCCAGTTTGAGAGAGACCTGCAAGCCAGAGATGAGCAAAATGAAGAAAAGAAGAGGATGCTGGTCAAACAGGTATCTTAGGATGATTGAATCCAGCGGTCTGAACTCCAATGCAGCAGCATATGGTGCCAGCCAAGCTATCTACCAACTATAAATGTATCCCTTGCCCAGTAAAGCTCCCTGGGTTGACCATATGATCATCTTCAGGTACGGGAGATGGAGGCCGAACTGGAGGATGAGCGTAAGCAGAGAGCCCTGGCTGTGGCTGCCAAGAAGAAGATGGAGATGGACCTGAAGGACCTGGAAGCCCAAATCGAGGCAGCTAACAAGTCTCGTGACGAAGCCATTAAGCAGCTACGCAAACTCCAGGTAACCCATTCTCTTTGATAGGACTTAACGTCGGCTGGGTGTTCACCTCAGTCGTGGAGAACTGAAGAAATGGTTCCTAGATCCCATGAACGACATAGGATGAATATCATTCTGGTTATTTTATGTTCACCTTAGGCCCAGATGAAGGACTACCAGCGAGAGCTGGAGGAGGCCCGAACCTCACGCGATGAGATCTTTGCCCAGTCTAAGGAGAATGAGAAGAAGCTCAAGAGTTTGGAAGCTGAGATACTGCAGCTTCAAGAGGTATATCCACATGTGCCGTAGTGCTGTCAATACTGGCGTTCGCTAACAGACTGGCTAACTAACCTTTTGCTGATTGTCTCCAGGACCTAGCGGCATCAGAGAGGGGTCGGCGCCATGCAGAGCAGGAACGGGACGAGCTGGCTGATGAGATCTCCAACAGCGCCTCTGGAAAGTACGTGACTTCCAGACGATGCTGGGTTTGCTACATATCAAGTTAAAGCTAAAGTCTGGTATTTCCCTGCCTTCCCAGCCCCAACTGATTCCCTGTTACTTCTATCCCAGGTCAGCCTTGCTGGATGAGAAGCGACGACTCGAGGCACGAATCGCGCAGCTGGAGGAGGAGCTGGAGGAGGAGCAGAGCAACATGGAGCTACTCAATGACCGCTTCCGCAAGACCACCATGCAGGTCTGCTCATGCGATTGCTCATGTGAGCTCTGGCAACAGGCCGGACCTCAGTTAAAATGAACATTTGGCTCAATAACCGAAAGGTGCTTACTCATCCTCCCAGGTGGATACCCTGAACACAGAGCTAGCAGGAGAACGTAGTGCTGCCCAGAAAAGCGAGAATGCCCGACAGCAGCTGGAGCGCCAGAACAAGGAGCTCAAGGCCAAACTGCAGGAGCTGGAGGGCTCCGTGAAGTCCAAGTTTAAGGCCACCATCACTGCCCTGGAAGCCAAGATCGCACAGCTGGAAGAGCAGTTAGAACAAGAGGCTAAGTAAGGATCTTCCCTTCATGTAATGACTTTTCTAGGACTTGACTTTTACATTAAGGGAAATGTACATTGGCAATAGATATGTATAATCCCTGCAGGAATCCCTGTTTGGAAACGTGTGGAAATTTGCAGTAGTCAATTCAGTAGACACACACACACACACACACACACACACACACACACACACACACAGACTTTAATAAGAGGCCCCTCTTGCTTCAATTTCCCCAGGGAGAGAGCTGCAGCCAACAAGATCGTGCGTCGCACAGAGAAGAAACTGAAGGAGGTGTTCATGCAGGTGGAGGACGAGCGTCGCCACGCTGACCAGTACAAGGAGCAGGTGAGGAATGCGCTGAGGACAGAGACGTCAACCCCAGCTGCAGCCATGCGCTAAACATAACCTTCAAAGTTGGCTGAACTCCCGCCGTATTCGCCAGATGGAAAAAGCCAACGTCCGGATAAAGCAGCTGAAGAGGCAGCTGGAGGAGGCGGAGGAGGAGGCCACCCGCGCCAACGCCTCCCGCCGGAAACTGCAGCGGGAGCTGGAGGACGCCGTGGAGGCCATTGAGGCCCTGACCCGTGAAGTCAACACCCTGAAGAACCGCTTGAGGTAATGTGCAGTCACACGGGAACCGTGGATACACGGCTAGCAGTGCGTTCTCCGTTTTTACTCATCCTGTATGATTTTCCATAACTTCTGCATTTTCCCCCCAGACCCACACTCCAGTGCATGGCTCTTCAAATTGGACCCTTGATTCAAAATCTAGGCCTTGTTTTCAGTTCTTCCAAGTAGTCCTGCTCTAGATCTTGGCAGAACCACTCAACTTTTGTAGATTCGATGATCCTCTTGTGAAGTTCATGCTTGAAGCTAGTTCTTTGACTGCTCGTCCCTGTGCTCCTTCCTAGACGAGGCCCCATCACCTTCTCCACCGGTCGTTCTGGACGTCGGCAGCTCCAGCTAGAGGGCGCCTCAATGGAACTCTCGGACGACGACGTGGACGGCAAGGCCGGTGACCTCAACGAAACACAAGCCGGCCAGCCCGAGTAGTGGTGTCGTCCCAGTCAGCCAGCATGCAACAGCGCCTCAGTCGTGCCCCTACCCCTCCCCCTTCGTCCAAGACGCCAGCACCGCAGGGAGCCCTCAAACCCCAAAGTGGGCGGGGGGGCCATAACTCTGCCTTACTCTACCCTGGCAAGCTGCAAGGCTGAGCACATCATTCATCTCTTGCGTCTTAATATAGCTGTAGCCTTGACGTAATGTATTCTGCTTAAGAAAATGATAGGTACAAGTGCATTTTTACATATGAGCGTGTGTTTATATATGGGAGCTTAAATCCTGTGCACATTCACTCAGACACCCAATATGAGGAATGATTTTGTTCCCCTCAGATAATATAAAGCCATTTCCTGGCTATCAAAGCCTGATGGATGCTGTCCTTAAGCTGAACGATAGTCCTACTCAAAGACCAACTTACAGCTGCATTCTCAGCTGTTTTCATCTCAAACATTTCTTCTCGTGTACAGAATTTAACTTTTAAGATACAACAAAAAAATCTGAGTTGTGTTTCTGAAATGGACTGGAAAATTCAAACTGTGAACCCATTGGATTTTTTTTTCCATAAATTCAATTAAAGTGAAATTGCTCAAGCGACGGTATATTTCTAAACGGCTTAAGTCCACTTTGGTTTTGACGAGAAGCTATTTTTTGCAGGGTTCTGGGAGGAGGTCTAGTTTACTGGAATCGGTAGGGAGGAACAGTGAAAATGTCATGGTCATTAGCTCTGAACTGCACGTTCTATAGGCTGACATGAATCTGGTTAGAAACTGGAAATGTGTCCTGTGGATGGAATGGGTCCCCTTCACGTTACGAGTCATCTCAAAATCATGACGCAAAATCTCCAAGTAGAATTATCGGCTCCTGGCTGATAAGTGGAAAGTCGGGGGTAGGTGCGGGCGCAGAATAGAGTCTACTCAGCCGTTTGCGTTTGTGCCTAGTGAAGCATCCTGCCACTGGGGACCAAGGGTCCACAGCGTCCTGGTCCGTCACACGCAAACCGGTCTCGGAGAAACGGGGTTTTCCTGTTTAGCTCACGAGGCTTTTGAGTTACACCTCGAAGTGCAGTATGAACACACTGCAGCCGCCACAGTGTTACGCCAGAGTTAATATCCATCCGTACTATTATACTTTTTTCCAGTATTAAAAAAAAAGGATAATGTATGAAATTGAAACTCCTATTTAGTGCCTTAGACACTATATAAGAAAGCATCTATGGGGAGAAGCATGCGTGTGTGTGTGCGCGCATATATTTATATGCTCTCACATGCAAATTTAAACACTACGTGTATGTCAACTAACATTAAGCAAAACTGGCAGGATCTACATAACCCCCCTTTTGTGTTTTTTTTTGCTGTGCTTCATATTATATACAGTATGTACCTCCCTCTATTGATCGGATAGATAGTATGTGAATATGAATCAGTGTTATTAACTGTATGAAATGTTGGGCCTTCTGCCTCTGGGCGGGAAGTGTTATGGTGTCATTTGGTTAAAAGCTTTAACATCCATGACGTAGTTACTATTGGACTGGCTGTTGACAACCAGATAAACTGCAAATATCTCATTTCTTGGATACCTGTATTTCTAGACAATGATTTTTGTAAAAGAAAATAAACATATTCATTATAGAAACCGTGTTTTAAGAACTACAGATCATAAATGCCCATCCTACTGTTTCGACGCTTCTACATGCATGCTTAGATTGAAGCAAATTTAGATTGAAACTGATGTTTATTGCCCATTAAACAGAACAACGAGGGCTGCGTTACTGATTCCCATCTGCTTGTACACAAATGTTCAAAGGGTAATGTAATGCTAAATATTTTGCACACATGGAGGCACACTGTATACACCATATGCACCTGAGTTTGTGTCTTGACCAAAAAAATCCAGAGCCAATTGGCACACAAGGACAAGTGGTACTGAAAACCAACAGCATTTATTTGACACACAAAAATAATCTACAATAGAGAAAGTAACCAAGACGAGACAATTTCCCCAAACAAACCCAATAACACCCCCCTCCCCCTCCCCCTAAATTCAGGCTACAAACGCACAACCAGACCACACGCAGACATACAGAATAAGCAGATGCTTAAACGCCCCCCTCCACACACACACACACATATGCCCTGACTGACTGCCTAGGGTCCAGTCTACCTTACAGGCTCATCTTTGGCTGCAATTCTGTCAGTCGGCCAGGCAGGGGGAGTGGGGGGAGGGGGGTTAAGGTAATGGAGGGGGAACATTTTAAGGAAGGTGAGGAGCACGTGGGTGGATACTGCACCAAGCTATTTTAAACGAAAGACAAGAGACGAAAACAACGGCGGTAAGAAATCCAACATGAAATTTGCTTGAAGCATTTATCGACCTGCATAGTTTCACTTACAAACTAAGGCTTGTTATAGAGTCTGAGTTCTTAAAAAGAAAATAAAAAATAAAATCAGAACCAAAGTTCAAGTAGGCTACAATCTTACGCTTCCCCGGCAGCCTTGAGTCTCCGTTTAAGCACGAGGAGCTCCTCTGCTTTTCAAGTCTGAGTTTTCTCTTCTTCAAAAGGTCCAGTGTGAAATGCAGCACCAAGGGGATACACTGCGCTAGACCGAGAGGGGAACGCGTTCACACACACACACACACACTGTACACAGTGACCTGGAAAAAGAACAGTACACACGCACGCACACACTTCTCTCGGTGTGTAAACCACTTACAAATAATTTATCAGTATTAATCATAGCTACTTCTTTAACAGTCTGTGGTGGGGACAGGAGCCCACTGTCCATGCAGGGGGGGGGACTGTACCACTAACAGGGAGCTCAGTAAAAATATACATTTAAGTCACAATTCATGTTCATTATTAAATAGTTTCACACAAATCACTGGGAACAACAGGCGGGATGAGTTATTAAATACAAATTAAATTATGTAGTATTCTTTCCTGCTCTCCCTTCCCTCTCTCCACAGTGATTAAGGTCTGTCATGTAAACATGTTGACAAAAATAAAAATGGAAAAAAAAAATCATCCAATCAATCATCCATCCAAACATAACAATATTATGGTAAGAAGAATTCAAGAGGAGAGTTCCGGTGAGTGCGCCCCTCCTGTCATGGTTGTATTCGTGGATCTCAGTGGCCACATGGTCGGCACCATGCCGACGCGTCCCAGATCCTACAGGTCAGTGAGACTTCCTCGTCATGTCCGCGCCCTGGCTTTGGTTCGCGTCTGGGGAGAAGGGAGGGAGGGACGACGATGAATGTCAGACTCACGTGGGCGGACAAACACACTGAGGAAGTCATGGCCCAACGAAAGACAAAACCATGCTTCTACGCTACGGGAAGCAAGACACGCATGCGGACCGGCACTGGCGGACCAATGTGGAGAAGGACAAGCAAAGCAAACAACAGAAGTCACAGCGACGCGGGGGGCAGGGTTTACCTGAGAAGGCAAGCTGCAAGTGAGGAGGTAGCGCAGCCTGAGAACCTGATTGGAGACTCTTTAACAGATCTGAGGAGAGACAGACAGAGGGAGAGACGCCCACAGAGGAGACGACAGGGAGGAGGAGGAGAAGAGGCGGATGGTAAAAAGGGGGCAGGTGGGAGAAGAAATGAATTTGATGAACAAAACGTGAGAGTAAGAACATCACATAGAAAAACCCCACAGGCAAAAACAGTGCGATGGGGACGGATGGCGATGGGACACGGTATTCAGGCCACAAGGACAGACGGCACAGGACCAATGGAGGAAGGGCGGGAGACACAGACGAGCACTACATCTAGCATAAACCTGGCGTTCCAATGCGTCTCGGCATCCAGTGTGGCCCTGGACGGGACAAGCAGGACACGGGATTCCCCTATTAGCCGGCTGCTAGCGTGGGAAAGCTAGCGTCTGAGCCGCTAACGGCTTAGACAGGGCGCCCAGTCCGGGCGCCAGCCTGCCAGGGGGCAGAAACCACTCCACAGGGCGGGGGAGTGAACGCCATTACTGCCTCCAACGCTAGGGGGCGCCGCACTGCACACACTCTGGAAGAATCTACAGCATTCAGCCCATTGTTAGATGATAGTATGGTAAGCAGTATGACGTCTGCATAAGCTAAATCCAGCAGAAACACTGTCCCTACGGGATGGGTCAATGTCATGTTGGTGTCATGTGATCTCAGGGAAACTGCTCAGTATCGATACTTGGTGTGACAGGTTATGAAAAAGTGTCACGTTTTCTATGCCAGTTAAAGAAGCCCTATGAGCTGAAGGGCAGCAGACCCAAAGGGGGCAGACAGCATGAGTGTGATGCTCGCCTAGGGTAACCACGCGTCGGGGGGGGGACACTATCGGACACTTCAGGTTTTACAAAGTACAGTACTTTAAAACTAAAAGGCTCTCGTGCTTGGCGAAATAGCTCAGGTCCTCTTGCACTTTGATTTGTTTATTCAGACTCATCCAACTGTTCCACGTTAAGATTAGTGACACATGCCTGATTACAGGAGACTGACCAATCAGCACGAGCACGAACTTGGCGCTGAAGTGAAATCCGGGTCCTTTTAATTGGAACGGTTGAATGGTAGCTTACTATCCCTGCCGTAGCTCGTAGCGTCTCTCCTGACAGGTGGTCACCCTGTGCCCCCCCGAGCAGAAGCTATAGCCAGCCATACGAAGCGGCACCACGTTAAAACTTACAAGGCTACGACAGGGACTCGGCGTAGCAGGAGAAGTTCCCTGGTTTTCTTACCAGGGAAAATGATCAGAAGCCAAAATTATCCACATATTTTTTTCAGACAATCAAAATTAAATTTAAACATCCGAGAGGCAGAACCATTAGTTTTTATAAATCCGTTAGTGGGGAGCAATTAAATTTGGAGGGACGGTGTCCCTTTTGGGCTAGAAAGGGCAAATTCTTTCCAAAGACTGGGAACCAGGGACGTACGAACAGGGGTAGTAACATTCTGCAGGTTTATTGCGACTCGTAAAGGCAGCTTCATTCCGTTCCGGGCTGGTAAGACAGCCATGTTTCCGCTGCTCCACTCGGATAAAGACTCGCATGTGTTCTGAGATGTATACTGAACAGAAACACGCTGCGTTTTGCTTCATGGTTATGCTGGTGAACAGGCTCTGCGGAAGTGCATTATTATTATATTAATTCTCCCATCAGGAATCATACGGTGGCATTATAGTGACCATCAGCAGGGCCTCATGACTAGATCTGTGCTTCAAAGTCACTGAGCGTTGCAGGCAGGCAGGTTGGGAGGGACCCCTCTGGCAGACAGTGACACGTGGATTTTCACTGGCTTGCACACTGTATGTGGACTGCTGTACATGCAGTAACTCAGCTTGTGAAGTACTGGGCTGTGTAGGAGGACTATGCAGTGCAGAAATGCCAGGAAAACACTGATTGAATAATTTGTGTGACACTCCCCCCCCCACACAGTCAGGCCCAGCACTCACTTTGCGCCAGGCTGTATCCTGAGCTGTTGGCCCCAGGGGCACCAACTCCGCTGGCAGCCCCGGGTGGCGTGAAATTCAGCAGCGGAGGGAACTGGAAGGGCAGAGAGACTGGGACCAGCCCACCCAGCATGCCGAACCCCAGCGGGAGGGAGGGGGGCGGGGTGCCCAGGAGGTTGCCGCTGGCTGAGGAGACCTGGGGAGGGAGGGAGGGGGGGAGGGAGGCGTCAGACCCCACCAATGGAGAACGACTGTGTGGAAGACGAGAGATGGTACACACAGGAAGTGACAGATGGGGAGTGGCGTGACCCCCATGGAGCCACATGACCACCATCATCACACACTGCATCACCACTCGTTTATCTCCAAAGAAGCATTCGGACAGTGAAGTCTGCAAGTGCTTGGAGACAGCCCTGGGGGGGGGGGCTCAGAGCACGGAGACACACACCCTGACTAACTCTGAGTCAGCAAGGGATTCGGACACCTCGTCTTGGATTATAGATTCCAAAGTAGCCTACGCAAGCAGAAAGACCGACCACACACACACACGCACGCACGCACGCACGCACGCACACACACACACGCACACACACACACACACACACACGCGCACACACACACACGCACGCACACACACGCACGCACACACACGGGCCTGAACCCAAAGCCACAGCCCCAGCAGCACAAGCCGCTGACTCAGTCCTCCACCCTGCTACACACGGTGCAAAAAAAACAAAAAGAAATGCATTTCAGATTTCACATGAACACCCAACAACAAGGACCGTACCCAGGCACACTGCCCTCCCACAATCACCAGTATCCCCAGAATAAAGCCAAGGACAGTGCTGGGAAGTCACACTGTCATACAGTCCAGATTCTCTTCTCCATCTCAGCACCCGCTCAGATCTGAGCTGCAGGACCCAGCTAGCAATGTAACACCAAGGTTATAAAAATCAGAAGCGCCGCCTTTCGCCGGCTCACCTGGGACAGCTGAGAGGTAGCCGGTGATGCTGGTAGGGGGGTGACAGGAGCCCGACTCGCCACTGGCTTAGGCCCCTGGCTGGCCCCACTCACGCTCCTCTGTCTCTGCCCGTGATTGGCCGAGACGGTGGGGGAGGGGCTTGACGTAGGCCGACTGGAATTGGAGGGCGAGCTTGCGGGGGTGGCATTGGTTGTGGCGCCGCCGGTGTGGGGGGCGGCTTTGTGTCCCCCCACCAGGCTGTAGGTGCCCTGCCCGGGTTTCGCCGCCCCCCCCGCTGACGGCACGGAGAACGGCGGCCGGAATCCTGGGTTTTTGGGAGAATACTGATGCACCTGAGGGATGGGCTGAGGGCGGGAGTGCGCCGTGAGGGAGGGGGATGGCGAAGGGGAGGAGGAGGGGGGCAGAGTCGGGGCAGGGGGCCGGGGCGTCAGCTTGATGATGGGAGAGCTGCTGCTGTGGGGGGACTTGGTGAGGGTGGCCTGCATGGGGGTAATGAAGTTGGACTGGTGATGCGGGTGAGCCTTCGATTGGGGGTGCGAGGGAGCCTGGACCGGGGAGGGGCCATGGGGAAGGCGCGGGGCCTGCAGACTCTTCGGGTTCAGCTGGGGGGTGTGGGAGTTCATGCGGGACTGGGGGGAGATGGGCACCCCACCACTGCTGCTATTAGCGTTAGCCTTGGTGCCGCTTTTCACAAGGCCGGAGTGGGCCAGAGCCCCTGCAGCTTTTACCCCAGTGGGGCAAAAAGCCTTCTGGGGAGGTAGGAGCGGAGAGGCAGTGGGGGGTGGCCGGGGCTTCGGCGGGGAGGGGGATCCCGTCTGGCTGAGTTTACTCACGCCAGTCACCCCGGGCCGGTGGGTGGGGGGCATCGGGGGCATCGGGTGCCTCTGGCTCTGCGGCAGAGAGCCCCCACCCTTCAGGATCCCATAGGCTTCGGCGTGCACCACAGACGCCGCCACGGAGGAGGAAGGGGACGAGGAGACGGAGGGCGGCCGAGGAAGACAGGGGGAGGAGGAGGAGGAGGAGGAGGGGGAGGTGGAGGGAGTGTTCATGTTTGCCAGGGGGAGGCCCGAAGCCTCCTTCTTCACCAAGAGGGTCGACTGAGAAACCAGGGAGGCGTACGGAGCGACAGGGGGCCCCGGGGTGGAGGTCAGCATCTTAGGAGCTGGGGGGGAGGGTGGGCTGTCGCTCTGAGCCAGCCCTTTGGCGGCGTTGCTGAGGAGGGCCAGCGCGTGGGAGATGGAGTCCAGGGAGGGGGCCGTCAGGTCCTCATCCAGCGAGTCCGATAGACAGATGGTCTCTGAGGGGGATGAGGGGGGTCTGCGTATGGCAGGGATGGGGGCGGGAGACGGGGCAGGGGCAGCTGAAGCGAGGGGGCGCTGGGGCCACATCCCCTCCTGCGTGAGAGATAATGAGGAACCGTGAAAAATCAAGAGAAGCCCTGTGAAGCAGACTGTAAACAGGCATGGATCACACCGGATCGCACCGGATCAGCACAAGAGGCCTCATGGCCCAGCTCATCCAAACGGCTCGTCAGCATCTATGCTGAGTGAGCGGGCACAGCCAGAGGGCACTGCCAGCTGACGGCCGGGTGAGTCAGCCCTAAGCATGGCGTTCGCTGCGACGCCGACCTCACAGGGACCTCCCTCCCGCTCCGACACAAACGCATATGGCTGCCAAAGCTATTTAGGTACACTGACGATTTAAACTATCAAAAAATAAAAACATAAGACAGCACAAACCAGTCATACGTAAATAAACTAACGAGCTAAATGCAAAGGGGCATATTTTTGAATTTTATGACAGGACACACTGGAGCAGGACTGCCTGAGTGTGACCGCAGCCGAGTGCAATCAGCTCACACTGCATTACCAACCAGGGCAAATATTTCTGGTATCTCAGAGCACAGATGACTACAGGTCCCGTGTCATTCTGCTAATGCTATCACACGCACATAGTGGCACTGCAATGTTTCAAAAACACTTCCTTAATATGAATCCCCATCTAAATATACTGAATTTTTGACCCCTTACTTTACTGATGTCAAGTTTGAACCCTAAATGCTGTAACTACACCACGCCCCCTTACGGTAAAAGCTCTACGATTACACGGAAATGGGGCAAAACAGGCAGGACCAGATTGACAAAGCATAGGCCTCTATGGCAGTGAACATCAACCACACACAGTTACAAAGAGTAAGGATGCAGAAAACACCAGCAAAATGACAGAGGGGTGATCGTAGCCTTCGGTTAGGCCAGGACTCACCTTGGGTTTGGCTTTTGGGGTCGGAACAATCTTCTTCTTGGCTCTGAACAGGGGAAAATGGGACACAAGCTCAATGTCTCACGCACAGGGCAGAAAACGGTTTAATTTACATTACTTTACATTAGGTATCTATGTGTCCGCATGCCCAGAGATGGACTGGTCACCCCTGGTCTCGTACCCTGTGCTTCTGAGCCCCTAAGTAACCCTGTCCAGGATGAATGGCTGGGATTGTGACAGATGGATATTTACCCTATAGTTCTTTAACAAAATCTGTTTGCCATAAGAGTTAGTTAAGCAGGTATCCACAGATTTCTTAAGCTAGAGGTTTAAGAGTAAAAGGCTGCAGCCTCGTGCAGCAGACACCCGGACCGTAGTCCCTGTGCCGTGTGGTGACGTGCACGGCCGCCCCGAGTGGCGAGGTGACTCACAGGTTTCCCGTGAGATGGCTGTGAACGGAGCGACTCTCCTTGAAGAGCATCCTGGGAAAACGAGAGAGACAAAGCGGCATGTTTATACGGCATCAGAGAGAGGCGGGGGGCAGACAGATGATCTCCATGGCACTGGTCTCCATGGCACTGGTCTCCATGGCACTGGTCTCCATGGCACTGGTCTCCATGGCACTGGTCTCCATGGCACTGGTCTCCATGGCACCGGCCTCCTTACCTGGTCTGCATCCAGCCTTTGGGCCACAGTGGCTTGACCTCGTTCTCCATGAAGGCCTTCAGGTAGTCCTCCACGGAGACCGAGCACTGAGACTCCAGTTCATAGCAGCCCAGCTTCACCCGTACCAGGTTGCACAGCAGGGACCTGCGGCCAAGGGTGCCGGGACACGGCGAGATGGTGAGGATGCGCAAACAGGGCCAGCGGCACCACCGGGGCACAGACGCCGTCCACCGGGGTAAGACTCTCTCAAAGGGGCCCAGATCATTGCAAAACAACAACAGTGAGCCAATCACGTGACGAGGAAAAGTGGGCAGTCAGACCTGGCAGTTCGCCCCAGGCCCGCGTACCTGAGTTTGTCGTTCCACACAAATTTCTTGCGCGGCCCCATCACCCTCTTTCCCGGCTTTTCCTCGTCTTCCTCCTCTGAGCCGTTCTTCTCCCCCTCCTCGGACTGCTGCCTGCAGAAAGGGGAGGACGGGAAGCGGAGTTACGGTCCAAGCGGCGCCAGACGGCATCAGTCACGTCACGATCCACGGCACACGGGCAAGGCCAATCGGGGGGGGGCCGACATACTTGGCGGCCTTGGCCATGCAGTCCATGTTGTACTGGGCGATCTGCTCCGGCATGACGCTGCACACGGCCAGCTTCAGCTTCAGCAGTGGGGCTCGCAGCCGGTCGTCCTGATAACGTCAGTGAGGGGGGCGGGGTCAGGGCAAGGCCACAGACATCAGTCCAGACAGCAATTCATACTAATGACTTTAAGAGCAGATTTCCAAACCTAAACCAGCCAGAACATCACACACTCTGCACTGGTCTCTGCTGAGGGCTAGACAACAAAATTAAATTGGGTTTTATAAAATATAAATCCTCAAGTCTACAACTCATCACAGGTACAAAACGATGTGAAAAAGGTCACATTTAGGGCCTGTAATGACTAGATGTGTCCATTAACAAGCATTGTACACAACATTCAGACACAGGGGGGCCAATAATGGGGGCTAAATGCAGACTAGCTGGCTCTGTGAAAATACATCCAGTACCCGTAGGAAGGCTTGATGTGCCGACGGGCCCAGCAGGAAGCCAATATGTGCCTGAGAGATTTAAGGGGAAATTAAAGCAAGCTGCCAGGTAATTGTACTGTGTGGCACAACGCTACGAGAAATGTATGGAACAAACGTGTGACCAACCACCCTGAGATCCAGCAATCTACTCTCTCTTTCTGTACGTCACTCTAAGAGTCCTGCAGTTCTTTAAAAGGCAGTTAGGGCTTTAAGATGCAATCACTTGTGTGCGGCTGTGACCTTGCCAATTTCCTCTTCGTGTCAAATCAAAATTTTAATCAAAAGTGTATTAAAGAAAATCCCCGAATCTCATGACAATATTGTTAACACTTCCAATCTCCTGGTGATAAATCCAGTCCAGATGGACGCATTGGTTAGAATGACGTTTAAATTTAACGCAATGTTGCAATATTGCCTACATAGGCAGAAAAACAGCTGAGTGAACATTCTTTAGGTCAGCCACCCACGGGGGAAGCCAGTGGCACGACCCCCACCTGAATGTTGAGACTGAGCTTCTTGAGACGTTTGAGCAGCGCCTCCTTGTTGCACGGCACGAAGGCCTCCAGGTGGGAGTAGACGGCGGCGCGCACGGAAGCCGGCTGTTCCTGCACCTGCAGCTCGATGCTGGGGGGAGGGGGACCAGCAGGGTTAGCGGCGGCTCACCAGGGAAACGGTAACGGACCTGCAGCGGCTGGGAGACGCTCATCTCCCCGGAAGGCTGTGCATGATCTAGGGCAGCGTTTCCCAATCCGGTCCTCGGAGACCCCCAGACCGTCCCCCCCCCCCAGCTCCTTGCCAGACAGTAGGGGGCACTCACTCAAGCAAGATGTTGTTCATATCCAGAGTGAAGAACTTCTTCCTGCCTTCTTGATCAAACTGACGAGATGCCTGGGGTGGGGGGGGGAGGGAGGAGTTAATCTAACCAGACACCCAGCAACAAAGACCTAGAGGACAGTTATCCTTAAGCTTGCATCGGCAACGGAAGAGAAACATCCACTCCAATCAAGATATAACTGTCAACTGTCCCTAATTGTATAAAATACCTTTGATTTTACCATGTTATCTAACATTCTGACTTTACTAAACATGACACCTATAACACGTCACACGCTGGAGACCTCCTGAGAGCAGGCAGGCGCTGGCCGCTCCCTGGCCGCTCCCTGGCCGCTCCCTGGCCGCTCCCTGGCCGCCCTCCTGCCCCCTTTCCTGGCTCCCTAACACAGCGCCTTCCCTTCTGCCGGACCTCTGCAACCTCACCTCCCTGTCCTCTGCTCCTCCTTTCTCTCTTTTCACTTTTAAAAGCATCCTATGGGGGGGGGGAGAAAGGTCACAGACAGGAAACTAGTGGGAGGGCTATAAGCAGACCCCGAACAAAATGCATCAAAGTCCTTTACAGACTCTGGGCCGCTCCCTCTGCACCATGCTGGCCCTCATCCTCCTCCTGCTCCTCCTGCTCCTGCTCCTCCTGCTCCCCTCCAGAACAGAGATGTGCAGAATCAGGCAGGGGCACAAACTCACCGCCCGCAGGTCCTCGATGCGCTTCGCGAGTGGGGCAGGGAGCCCGTCTGGCAGCGGAGGGGGCGTCAGCAGTTCCCCGCTGGCCCCGGCCACCCCCTGGCCCCTGCCCAGTGGCCCCACTACGACCTTGTGGCCCACCGGGGCCCCGGAGCCGTGCAGGCCGTTCTCCCTCTGCGCCGGGCTGGAGGACTGGGGGGAGGAGTCCAGGAGGCTGAAGTCGAGGTCACCGAGGAGCTCCTGCAACTCGCTCTCATTGGCCGAGCCCAGCAGTGACATCACGGCCGGGTCCACGGGCAGGTCCGCGATGGAGAGGTCGCTGCTGACGGCGCCGGCCGGCGTGCTGTGCTGTCCGGCACTGGCGGTGGGGGGGGGGCCGGCGTTGCTGCCGTGGTGCACAGTGTTGGCACTGAAGTTCTTCTTGCGCATCTCCTCCTTCTCGCGGTTAAAGCGCCGGATCATGGCAGCCAGGCAGAGGGAGTCCTTCATCAGCTTCTTTCTCTTCTTCTTCTCGGGCCGATTCAGACTAGACACTCTGGGGGGAGGTGGAGGGGCACTGTGAGATACATATAAATACAGCAACACAGCGATCTACACACAGCCAATCACGCAGGAAGACCGAGCTACACACAGCCAATCACGCAGGAAGCTGACAGTAACATCAACAAAAGGTGGATGATTAGAATGTCATTACAATACAGATATAAAATTATATTACTGCTGCAAATGACTCTAAACTTAGTATTCGATTAAACTTAACTGATGTTTTTTAACAAAACTAACCAGAAAAATATTTATATAATAGGGATAAGCTGCAATGCATTAAATACATTAAAGTGAGCATGTGTATATCAATTCCAACATTATAAACATGCCCATGAATAAAAATAGATTAAAAAACATTTTTTTATATATTTCTTCATTCCAATCACGTTATAATTTGATTTTTAAGAATTTGCTGTGAGAGACGTAAACCAGCGGTGCTAAACATTAAATATTTGCTTACTTTAGAAATATTCTTATTCTGAACATGCATGTTTGATCATGCAACACTTCATTCCTAACACACCAGACACTGGTTATTAATTAAATACATAACACTTATATAACAAACAGTTCTAATAGTGATTATGACATGACATACTTACAGGTACTTTACTCTGCTTTTATTAACACAGGGGAATTCACGCTAAACCTCACCCTTGCTTGGACACTCTGTTCTTCCTTGGTTTCTTCTCCTCCATGCTGTTGCCCTCCTTTTTCTTGCGTTTCTTAATCACTTGATCCTCGCCATCCTTCAACTTCTGCAGGTAAGTTACGCACAGTCAGTCCCGAGCCGGAGCGGACAGGCCATCCTGCGTTGCCCATCGATCGCCTCGTTCGCCGAGATGCGTGCTCACCTTGTGAGGTTTGCCATCTTTGAACATTTCTTCCCCTTCCGACTCAGACGCCGCCCGGAACTGCAGAGTGCCCGTGTTGATGTAGAAGCCCCCGAGTTTGGTGGTCAGAGAGGCAGGGACAAGCTCGTCGTACTGCAAGAGTCAGAAGTAGATGGGTTCGTGTGAAGTGAAGGGCATCAACCCTAGGTATCCGGTCATCAGAAGCCTCGTTTACACCAGCAAAGATGGCTCCGGCCCGGCACCACAGAAAAGCCAGTCTCAGGATTTGGCACCATAACCTCAGCAAAAGCGTCCAAACCTTCCACACCTTCCAAACCTTCCCAGAAAACGCAATCCGTAACCGATACAGTTCAGTCTAATATCGCCGCTGCTGCCAGTGAAAATACTTGCCAGCATTACAAGCAGAAAAACGCTACATCGGTTTTTTTTTTTGTGGAAAACAAAATGTTCCCCAGATTTTAATTGTAAACATGTCGCAGGTCGAATATATTAAATATCGTGATGCTTATGTGGCAAAGAGATCATGGGGCGGATGACAAAGTTACATTTTTAGCAGACTTCCTTAAAAGGGCACAGGCAAAGCAGCAAGCCAGAATAAACTCACTCACACTCACACACAGACTGGGGAGGAATACAGCCTATCAGGAGACAGGTGGATACAGACAATACAGACGAAGCACGAATAGGAGACTTAAAGGCTCGGCAACTTATAAAAACAAACTCGGAAACAGATCAAAATAAATAAGTAAATAAAACGAATTCAAATGAACCTTTACCTTACTCTCACTTCTGCCTACGTAACATTTCTGTTCCGTTCTTTTTTTTGAAAAAGGTGGAAAACATAGGCAGGTTCTCGAAAGATGGCAAATGAGAACCAGCCCAGCACCAGCACAGGCTCCGTGTTGGTGGAAACGAGGTAAGGGTCGCACTTAATATCCAAAAAATACCTTAAGAACCATCTTTTCTTTGAATGCCTTAACTTGCTATTCCTGTCCGGTCTTCACTCTGCTGTTCCTTGCTTGGCCTCTTGTCTATACTGCACGCTCTTGTATTTTTGCACTGGAATTCGAATGGCTCACACTGTATTCATGCGATGTTTCTGTAAAGCACTGCATCGGCGCAGGAGCTAATAGTCAATCATTAGAAGCACAATCTATAGCCAATCTGCACATCTACCTAGTTGGCTCCTTGACAGCTATATGCTTGTAATATACCATCTGCTTCTCCAGTACGACACACTGGACACTGTAAAACTATCTGCCGCTCCATGCGATGTTTAATACCAGGTACAAGATAGGAGAAAACGTACTATGTCCTGAAACGCGTGCTACACAGCAAAAAAGCAAGACAACTACACGATGAGAAATACAACCACGACAACGGGCATGTATGACCCGTAGTCTTGCTTAACATGAGCCAGATGAAGGGCGTACATTTAACAGCTAAATGACCCAAATGGGGGCCAGATTGGCAGATAAACCCAGCAATACTCACGGCCTCAGAGTTGTCTATGAATGGGTCACTCTCGTCATACCCAAAGCCAATATCGATCAGATCCTGCATCCGGTCTTTCCTCTTCTTCTTTCCTTGATTCCCCTGTGACAGGGACAAATATAAAATTAGATCAAGTCATACTAAAAAAACATGCTCTGACTAATTCTGGCAGCCTTGAATATTTGAATATGAACAAAATTTCTACAACATCATGAGACAATATGGGCACCTAGAAACTAAACTGAACAAGTGTTAATCTGGCCGTGTCTAGAACCTGACCATTCAGCAAACCCAGGATCATCGGCATCACAAGCACAGAACTGTTTATAAGGAAATGAAGCCGGAATACAAATGCATAACAAACCCAGATCCAGGCACATTTCCACCTGGCATCCCGGCCTGACACAGACCTCCCTTCACGGGTGGTCTAATAGGACAGAACCCCCTTGAAGCCCCCGGTCTGTAACCATGGTGATGGAATATACTCACGTATTTGCTCTCGAACTTCTTGGCCAGGGCTTCCACTTCCTGCCGCTCGCGCTCATCGTCACCGAAGGGATCCGAGGGGTCGAGGACAGGAGGTAGTCCTGCTGCGGGCTTTTTAACCTTATACAGTAAATTCATCGTCAAATCAATATAGGTCAAATATGCATACATTATGTATACTTTCAACAAAAAAAGAGAAAAAAAAAGACACGCATTGTAATTAGAGTCGTAAAGGCGTGTTAAAATGTCATACTGTGGCTTTTAATACTAAGATAACAACGGTTTCGCTAGCTACCAGCTAACACTTTGCATCCATGCATGACACACAGCCGCCTGAACACGTCCACAGCCGTCAAAGTGCAAACGATCCACCATTTCGCGTTTCGTGGTGCATCTGCCGAATCTGGACAGTGAAGTTTTTTATTCATTCTTGGCAGCCGCCTAGCATTAGCTGGACGAATACGGTCCGGCTGTTTTTGCAGACAATTTCCCAATTTCCAAAAATATATATATATATATAATAATAAGTCCAATAACTCCACCGACTGGGCAGGACAGCTATCGAAACAGCGGCAGAAGCGCAATCGAGCTAAAAGCAGCCACATCCTATGAATGAACTGAGTGTTAACTTGCCCGATCGATCTGATAAAAAAAAAAAAACTTTCCAAATTTTCCAACTACATAGCAGTAAGTACTCAGGCTGCCGGTAGGGATAAAGTTTTTTGTCGAGAAAAGTTAGTAAGGCGCTGCATGGTGCGGGCTAGCTAGCTGGCTGAAATGCTAGCTAAACGCCTCGGGATGGTTTGGAAAGCGCAGCACTGGCCATTTCAGAGCCATCCCCCCCTTCCGGACCCCCAGAGCAGGCCTGAGCAGCGCAGGGGTCGGGCTCTACCTGAACGGACTGGAGCAGCTCGCTGTAGTTAAACTCGGCCGAAGCCTGGTCGCTCGGCTCCGACAGGCGCAGATCGAGCCGCACCGTGATGCCTCTGGGCTCCGCGGCGTCTCCGTCGCCGGCTTTAGCGAACATACCGCCACCCGCTGCCCCCGTGGCGGCCGTGCCAAGCCCCGCATCCCCCACGCTTATGTCGGTATCGTCCTCCCTCCGACGTTTTCGCTGTTCCGACGGCTGTCCGGGGGCGAACGCCGACAGGGTGACAAACGGTACTTTCCTCGGTTCGGCCATCTGGACGCGGAGCAGCGGAACCTTCGCTTCCTCCGGGCTGAATGCGAGGGCGAGCCGCTTTAGCTACTCCGCGAAAAGTACTTTACAGGCGGTGCGCTCGGGGGGCGATTCAGCCTGGGCGAGAGAGAGGTCCAGCGGCGGACGATCGGCAGATCACTCCTCCGCACCGTACTAACTGAGTCTCGGGGGACGAGATTGTCGGGGGAAAGTTGTTTTTTTCAATAGTTGCATCCTCAATTGCTAAGATACTGAGACGTTCGGGGTAGCCATCTTCGATTTCGGGAGTAAATAAAATTACGGAGGTCGCTGGGCCTGCGCGCTCCGCGGAGGCGGGAACGAGGGGGGAGCTGCGACCAATGGCGGCCACATCCGCCGCCGCGTCCCAGTCCTGCCCTCATCCCGCTGCGGGATCGCGCTCAGCCGCGTGCCATCTTGGCTCGAGGCGCAGGTCTGCCTGCGAAATGCAACCCCGGTCGTAGTTTAAGGACCGACATGGTGAACAAAGGGGAGCTGTTTCGGTTCAAGGATGAAGGTTTTTTTCTTTAAAACTGCCTCTTTCCCCTTTCTGGGGCTGAAATGCTGACTGGCTGATTTTATTATATGTGACCTGCATATTGTAGATTGTGTGCGAACATTAACGTGTATGCTATTAACGCTCCAACCATTAATGAAGATCCTCAGTACCGTTCGGTCGGGCAGTAATAAGCTGTTTACGCACGTTAACACTATGTCTGTCATGAAAAAAATCTGTATTTTTAATTTGCACATCCATAAGCAACCATTTATGTAATTAGTCGCAAATGTTATCTAATACTGGAAAACAATAACTACAGAAGCACAAAATATACACAATATGTTTTGAATAAAAATATACAATTTTAATAATACACTTCAACAACATAACACTACAAAAAACATTAAGTAAAAAAATACTACAAAAACTGTGATACGTACAATTAATGCAAATAATCTAGGCAAGTGTTTTATTTATAGGCTATCAACGATATACAGTGATTCAGAAAACACTAACAATGTTCGGTAAATAATGCATATGAATTAGCTGCGTGCAGATCTGCTTCTCTTCATTTCTATATCAATACCTTTACATCACATTACGGTCCTTTGAGATGCAGTTATTCACGATAGATGGGAATCTCATTACATAACGTTGTTGCATGAGGCCAAGTCAAACATACAGGTCTGCTTCTCCATATAAAAATGTTTCTAAACTGGGAATTGGGTGCTGATGCAGAATGTAACCATGTCTTTAACACTTGCAGTCATTCCTAGAATTACTAATTTCCCAGGGGCTGCCTGTTCACGTCCCATTCTTGTCCCTTTTTCCATTTCTGTCCCGGTTCCCTGTTTTGTGTACCAAGTGCTTTATGGTGTGCCCATCATCACAGGGAGACCCGGTTGTCCTTGGCCCACTTTCTCAGGGCTCTGATGATATATTCCACCTGCGAGTTGCCAGTGTTCCTCAGCAGAGGAAGGACCTCCCTCAGCGTCTCTCTGCCACATGAACAGTGAAGTGCACTAGTAAGGCATTTTATACACACAAACACACACACATATATCTCCTTGTCTGCCCTTCCAGGGTTACACACTTCATGGTTTGAGTTCAGTGAATCTGTAGATAATATTAAAAGCTTGTAAAACCTACACAGGACATATTAAAGGATAAAAAATAGATGAATTATTTTAGCTGGACACTGTGCTTTACAGAGGCAGACAGCAAAGCAACAAAACCCACGTGTGAAAAGTGCTGGAGAGAGAGCAGGTGACTATGCTGCAGTTCTACATACCTGGGCTCCCTGCCGGCAAGTATGAGCTGAAAGATGCCCACACAGGCTCCCCTCTTGCCCTCCCAGTATTCGGGGTTTGGGTCCAGCCTCTCCAGCACATCAAACGCCTTGGCAGCATAATAGAACTGCCCCATCTGGAAAGGAGGCAGAGCTGGTACCTGGCAACGGCAGCGGTTAAAGCGAGATTTAAGAACCTGCAGAACGAGAACATACCTTATAGCAGTCATTAGCGATGAGTTGCAGGAGGCTGAAGGACTCTGCCGACGTCTCCAACTTTAAGTACAGCTGCCAGGCTAAGTGGGCCTTCTTGTTCATGATGTCTGCGTGAAGAGTGACACAACAGATGCCGGAATAATGATAAGAGGGAAAAAACAAGCACTGTAATGATAAAGAAAAAAGGGTGTTAATACATACAGCAGCGCGCCAGCCAGCTGAGATATACATAATCATTCTTGATCTTCTCACTCTGAATCAACAGGAACACCTGTACGCGACAGAATATCACAAACCTTACTTTCAAAGGCTTTAGTCTTAACACTTGGAACATAACTATTTTTGGACCGAGAAACCTTCCAAGCGAGTACACTAACATTCAACAAGTTCCTCTGAAACAGACATCTATATTGTATCAAATAAGCTTTAAAAGAAATCTATGCAACCCCCACGGTATCTTCTTAAAGAATCACAAGATCTGTCAGTGTTGCTCCACAGAGTGAAAGCCTGACGGTATGATGACTATATTTTGTTTAAAGGCCAATAATTTGGAAAAAAGACCCGTTACCTCCTCTGCCTCCCTGTAGTTGCCGACAGCTGCCTTGGCTTGGGCATAGTTGAAGTAAAAAGTATCCTCATTGTAGAAGTAGCTCTGTAAAACACGAATTAAGATCCGTGCACTGGCCGTAAGCAGCTCGCAATGCAACGCAACACGTGCCCGCGAGGGGGTCCATGCACGGCCGGGCTGCACTGACCTTCACCGAGTTCAGGTAAATGAGAACGTCTTCAAACTGCCTCAGCAGGAAGAAACAAGAAGCCATGCACTGTCTGCCAGGGATGGTGTCTAAGCGAGTTGGATAGAGGCGGAGATGCATTAAACAGAAGCTTAATTTGCTGATCAAGTGGGTATTGAATTCCAGTGTATTATTTCTGGGTCAACAGTAAGAATGGCACTGCACAATAAAGTCTGGTGATTAAACCTGGAAACCCCATTCTAACTTATACATTCTGTTTAGACACAACCATGTCTTTCGCTTTGTCACTGGTCGACTGTTTTTATTGCTGACGTGCACCTGTCGCAGTCCTCTTTTCTTCCGCGTGGGAAACAACGACGTGAACACAAAGATAAGTCAGTACTGGAAGATAACGTTAGTTGAAAACTTCATTTCAAGCTCTTGTGGTTTAACACCACAAACAAGAAAGGCAGGTGCAGAAAGATCTTTACCAAGGAAAACAAATTGTATTGTGCTAACATCTGCATATCCATCCATTTTATGGGCCTGCTTGTCCTACTTGGGTTTGTGTGGGTCTGGAGCCCATCCTGGGAAGGTAGCGGATAACCTAGGATGGGGCACCAACCCATCACATCACATCACCATTCACATCTATAGACAATGTGGTAAGTCCAATTCACTGTAGCATGTCTTTGGACTGGAGGGGAGGGGGGACTGGAGTACCTGGAGGAAACCCAATGACGACACAGCTAGAACATACAAACTCTACACACAGGGCCATGGTGGAGACTTGAACCCTGTTCCCACAGGTGTGAGGTAACAGTACGAACCACTGTGCCACCGTACCACCCCCAATACCTAAATATATTTCTTTATACATTTCAGTCTAACCTCTGCCAGTCTGCAGCCAGCCATCGCAATGGGTGGTACACAGTGTGGGCCAAAGTCCCCTAGAATCACCTTGTAGTGCAGATCTGTATATTTCCCATACTCAGCAGTATTGCAGCACTCTACCTCAAGTTACCTGCACTGCAACGTGTAAACAAAGTACGCTGGAAGCATACCAGATGGTCCAAACACCTGTCATATCTGGGCGGAGCCCTGGGCGGATGTAGATGGCAGACTGTGATTGAACGACATCAACATCGTGTGTTGGTTCTGCGTGTCTCTGTATGTCCTTCAGCATAATTCGTGCTCAGTTGTTGATATTCCATCAGGCTATGCGCCATCTTTAAGGTGTGGACTCTTTCTGAGAGCTTTCATCAGTCTCTACTTTGACATTAATCGCATAGTCATCAAGCTTCATTTGGTCAGTGGTCCGGTGCTAATTTTTCCATTATATATGTGTATACTTACCACATTCACTAGCTGAGCCACCAACTAGCTGGAAAAACTGCTGAGCGATCTTCAAGTGATCCCTCTATAGGAGGAGAACAGAGCAGACAGATCTGAAAGCGGGCATTAATTTTTAATTTTAAATCATTGTTTACCCCATAGGAGAGTTAGACATACATGGAGAACAACTATATTCTTTTCCACATCAGTGCTCCCTATTCTCTTCAGCAGGTACAAAAAGTAACGGATCAATCATATGTTAAAGTCACAAAATATTCCCTTATAATAACTGATCATTTCGCATTTCTGTGTGAAACAGGAAACTACAGTTTCTTCACGCCTATTATTACTATTTACACCCACACAGGATGTCTATCGTGGTTTTACAGTACACCACCAGGAGCTTCCACTGCACCGTCTGTGATGCTAAATATCTCAAATAAACAAAACTCCCCACTCCACTCTTCCACCCTCCTTCCGTCTCCCCCAAGTGTGTAACTCACCGATCCGATTTCTTGCCCTAAGGCAGCATTCACCACGCCTTTTAAAATATACTCCTGGTGGACACAAAGGCAAAAGGTCACTGCTTTCAAGAATTGACCATTATCACTCTTAACAACAATTGTGTATCAGCCCTATGGAAAAAAGCAGAGAGACAGTCAAGTACCCTAAAAAGCTTAGTAAACATTGCTGTACAATAATTTGAGAGGGAAAAAGAGGGTAGAGGTTGACAGGTTGGGGGCGACGTTAATATACACTTCTGCTTTTATACTGCTGTACTGAACACTGATCTTATCATATCTTAACGAGAGAGAGTGGCAGCCTATTGGAAGGCTTGAGAAAGGAAAAAAAAGAAGCTGAAAGAACTGTAAAGAAAATTAAAAAAGAGAAGAAAAACATGAAAGGAAGACTACAGAGGCAATGGAAAGCGTGACCTACCTGTGGTGTGGTGGGTTCCAGGTCTTTGATGAGATTGTAAGCTTCTTGGACATCGTCTACAGACCAGGACCAGGCACATAAGCAGCATTAGTACAATAAACACCAGTCTTTGACACTGACTGTAACACTGACTGTAAGCAGGGTTTGTTTGTATAACAGAAGCATTATTTAGCAGAGAAAAATAAATAGAGGTAACAAGGGAAAACAACAGCAACAGTAGCAGCTTAATGTGGACACAACAAAGCAGACTAATGAGTTGCGAATAATGACCGTTGGAAATTATTTGATATGAGTGACACTGAACAGTACAACACTATTGAGGTCAGTCTTTGAACTCTGAGCTTTCAAACTGAGACTTCAGTTCAACTCCACGTGTTCTGGAAGGTTACCTACAGCAAAAGAATTTAGGGGTAAGACGCGACATTAAGCAGTGGATATCGCGACACACCTTGCCTGAGGTAGTAGATGACCAGGTTGAGCCGGGCCTCAGGGATGACGTCGACAAGCGGCGGCAGGACCTGCAGGGCTCCCTCTCCACCGCGAAACACGACCTGATCTCACAGCGGGAGCGAGCATTTACACGCTGCACTGCCACAAGGAAACACTGTGGAGGCCACCTGGGGGATGCGGGAGAGGCTCCTCACCAGGTTGTGTCGGATGAGCTCTTTAGCGAACTCGAAGGAGCTGGAGGAGATATCTATCAGGTTCTTCAGCTCCGCCTGAAAGCGATAGAGAAGAAAGTGACTAAGACAGAAAGCTACATGCCTGATACTCTGTAGTGAGAGGGCAGAAAAGCCATACGCAATATGAATTAGCACAGTTCTGCAGTGTGTTAAGAGTGTGGAGACTCTGTTGCAGTGGCGGGGTTACCTCAGCAGCCTTCCCATTGTACAGCCTGAAGTGGTTACAGGCCTTGAGGTTGAGGGCAATGGTTGAGTCGGGGATGCTCTGTAAGTACACCGCCAAGACCTCCTGGGACACGTCATAGTAATCCAGTTTGTAGTAGCACAGGGCTACGTACACATTGAGGGCCAGGAAATCCCTGCAGGACAAACCGCCAGTACATCAAAGGCAGGCCTCTCAGAAATGCAGCCATAAACGGGAGATTCAGCCTGATCATCTGACCACCTTCCCACTGCATCTACTACTGTTGTGGCTCGATCCATAATTCTTTGCCACTCCTCCATCTTTTTACTTTACACAGGGAATGTTTCTCACTTGCAAATGCTCCCAATCCTCGGACTATTTCTCGTTCATTCTTTCTGCCCCGACACATAAAATAATTCAGTTCCCGTCGGCACACAAGCCAAACGCATCACTTGGCATCAAAATCAGATGCTGAGAGTTCTGCTGTTTTTCTGCACATTGTATATTCTGCTCCCCAAGCGTGAAAGCTAACACACAGCTACTGCTCCATGTGTAACTTTCACAGCTTCTGCAAAGTATCTTCCAGAGGTCACAGCAGCCTGATAACAGCTACAGCTACGTCCACCACGACAGGGACAAGCTACCTTTACGTAGCCTCTGATAGCAACATTTCGTGGCTAGTTATGTTAGCTTAGTAACTCCACCAAGACCAACACCTCCATATCTAATCCTCTCAAGTCTGACATAAGGCGCAGGAGCACCCATTAACGGTCAGCTTAAATTTTGCAAGGCGCAGGAATGTATCACAGCAAAATATGCAACGCCGCATGGCAACATGCAGGCGGCCCGGCGCTCAGCACCTGTTCTGCAGCAGGATGCGCTTGTAGATGTCGATGGCCTCCTGGTAATGCGAGCGCATGTAGTGGATGGAAGCCAAGCTCAGCTGGTCCTCGGTCACGTCCTCCAGATTCTGGTGGAAGCCCATCAGCTTCTTCTCATCATTAAACTGAGCAGGACGGTACCAAATTGTGAGTGTTTGTGTGTGAGAGAGAGAATAAGAGGAAGAAACAGAAGTAAAACTCTGTAAAGCTTTGGCCATTTCATATTAAGTAACACAAATACACTTAAAATACAATTACAATTAGTCCTGAACATCACAAACAAAAAAGTACCACTTCACTCTGTAACTCTATACCTCAAAAAAGACATTTACCCATTTCCCCTACTAGCAGTCTTTTATCTGATGATCTTTTACAAATGGAATTGTTTACTTCATTAATTGCAACTCTATACACCCTGCTGCATCTACGCTAGTGCTAGAAGTAATGGACTGCATATAGAGGAAGGTACTTAGGGCTAAAAGACTGCCAGATCAAGTACCAGGTACATAGTGCCGGGTCATGCTGTAGTACCATAGAAAAATGAATAAAATAGAATAGAAAATGAAATGCTCTGCATATCCATATATAAAGTGTGAACATTTAAAATTATGTAACTTCTAAAGCAGTGGCTAAGAATCTATAAAATGTAAATCAGAAAACATTATTATTAAATATTACACTATAAGTAAATTGACATACATGCTATTATTAGAGGTGCTAGTATGGATAGGAGGTGCTAGTATGGATAGGAGGTGCTAGTATGGATAGGAGATTTGGCTTCACGAATAAAGTGATGATGATTAATATGTTACCCTGACCTTGTGTGCCAGGTGGAAGAGTAAGCGATTCTGCAGTTGACTCTTTGGAGCTGAAACACAACCGGACAATGGAAAGGAGGAGACAGGTTACAGCGTCTCTGAGGTGCGGCTCCAGGAAGCAGAGGGTTATCGGTGGAGGCAGAGGATGGAGTCACCCTTGAGGGCAGCCTCTTCTGCCTCCTTGTACAGGCCCAGGAAGAAGAGCGTGCAGGCCAGGTAGACCCAGACGTCAGCGGAGCAGCCTGGTCTCTGGCTCAGAGCTTTGTACTCCTGTATCAAGCAGCAGTATTTCACACGCATTTCAGAAACTCTGTATCAAAATATCAGAGATAAATAGAGTTTCGAGATAAAAATGAGGTAATCCTGACCTCCATGGCTCTCCTGTAGTCCCCCAGGTGAAAGGCGCAATAGCCAAGCCATAAGCTGGTACTCTCTTCTCGCTCTCCAACACTTCGCTGGAACTAATTGGAGAGCTCAGTTTATGTCTAAGTAACATAGGTTAACTAAGGCAACGGAGATAGGAAAGGTACAGGTACCCAGCGTGACGTGGGGAAGGAGGAACCGGTGATCTGTGAGTGGTACATCACCTGCTGCAGGTGACCCCATGTTTTGAAACAAATTAATTACAAAAATTTTGCTGCTACAATCCAGGCATGGTGACAACCTACCATCCACCACCAAAGTCTTCAACTTTCAGTCAATATTCCTGAGTAATTCCACAGTCAACTGCTTCCATGAACCTTTCCCAAGGTCTATACCGTCCCTATAACCTGAGATTTAGCAGTCGATACACAGGTGCCTTTAAGGGATATTCAGCTCAGTTTGATTTATTTTTATATAGCGCCTTTCACTTGCACTGAGGTTCTTTACATGGGTGTGCTGTAATACATTCCTGCATCATTTATACAGAGTAACTCAAAAACAGGGTAAAGGGAAGGTACAGAAATGAAAGAACCAACGCCAGATGACAACAGAGGAGAGGACCCAACAAACACATGGCAGCTCTCCTACAATCCAGGCTGCGTTTCCAGCAGCACGCCGGCCAGCAGTACCTCCAGCTGCGTGACGGCTCCCAGGTAGTCCCTCTGGGTTAGGTAATCCTCCACTCGGGGGGTCTTCTTCCCCTTGTTCTTCTTCTTCTCACTGGCTGGAGCCTCTCCGCCAACTGCTGGCTTTACCCTGGACAGGATCTAGATGCACAAAAAGACAAAACATATTACATGCGGATACAGCTTTACTGTAAATAGCTCTCTGTTGTTTTTGCTGCTGTCAGGGGAAGAATGTTTGATTATTGGAGGACTGTAAGACCCTGAACCTTGGGGCTGGCACTACCAAGGGGGGGGGGGGGGGGGGGCTGTTTAAGGGGGTGTTTGGCATATTCTGAGATGAAACAGACTAATGTTTTTGCCTGAGGTGTGCATCCAAATTATTTTGAGTTAAATCAATAATTTACTTATGCTTATAACCATATTATTATTATTATTATTGTTATTATTTTTATTATTATTATTACAGTTGGATTGTAACGTCTCATAGCTTACACATCACACGTTTGTGTGGAGTCCAGAAACCTGTCCCAGGCAGTAGGAAACAAAACTGAGGGCATCTTGGATGGGGGTGAGGACAGGATGCCAATGCCACCTATCTAAATGAGGACCGTCCATTCATTCATTTCTATGGAAAAACCCTAATCCCAGTCACGACACCCTTAACCTCTACCCATCCCTAACCTTAACCATAAGTAACCAACCCAAATACAAGATTTTTGGCATTTTTACTTTTGATTGCATTCACAGATTTTTTATAAAACTGATGTTATCCTCAAAAGATGTCCCAAAAAGTAGGGAAATTTCATGTTTTACTACACTTTGGGGACAATTTGGTCCTCAAAAGTGATCTATGCAAATCCACCCATACACACACACACACACACACATACACACACACACACACAATGGCCAATGAAAAACGCCAATTCGTCTAGACAGAAACTCTAAGAATCGCAATATGTGTACTGGAAACACTTTGCCAAAGTGAACAAACTTTTACATTACAAAACACGAATAATTTAAAAACGGAAATTAACAAACTGCAGTACATATGATCTCATCTCATTTTCTGTTTCTTAGTGAGAGTAATGTATTTCTTAGTGAAAGGAAAAATGATATAGAACAACATTATGCAATGCAATGCCATCTAGCGAAAATTACCCTACTGGTATCGCTATCCACCTTACTGACTAGGTTTGATAAGCCCATCAAACAATCTACCGGAAAGAAAAACACATTCTTTACCCTGGGAAAAAAAATGAAGAAAACATTCGCTAACCAGCTAATCCCTGCCTACATATCTTTCCAGTTTGATCATTAGCTAGACAGCTTACTGCACTCACCATTTTGATACCACCCGGATTGCTCAGGAGAAGCGGAGCCTGAAAAAAACATGTGCTACGATCGCAATAAATTCATGGGTATGAATGCAAAGCAATTAGTAATTAAAAACGTAATATTGAGAAAACTTAAATAGCCTAGAACGGTGGCTTGCACTCCACAGCTAGCTAACCAGTTCAGTGTCTGGCATCTAAACTATCGATCCCGTCTCCAAGCAACGTAGCGACTCACTGCACCGGAAACGGTAGCTCAGCGGGACAAACAAGGAAGAAGTAGTGATCCGTTTGACTAATATTTGCACGTATTTTAAGATTTTCTTATTAAACTTACCGTCTGCATTTCGTTGTTCTGTATTATAAATATGTAATGTATGTAAATTCATTAAATATAACGTGAAAACTAGTCTTTTGAGGATGTTACGTGAGGATGTCCTGAAAACAGGAACTAAGGGACGCCCCAGTGGCCTAATGGATAAGGCACTGGCCTCCTAAGCCAGGGATTGTGGGTTCGAGTCCCATCTGGGGTGGTTCGTATTTTAAAGTACAATATATTTAACAGACAATTCGCAAGTGATGGAAGCGATGATATTCGCTAGCTCTAGGACACCCAGCATCGGTCAGTTTTTCGGCTTGTTTCAATCTCAGTAACTTCATTATCAGAATCAGTTTTATTGGCCAAGTACCTTTACGCATAAAAGGAATTTGTCTCCGGTTTGTCGTCGCTCTCAGTGTTCTTCACGACGGACATACAAAAAAATCTATTAAATCTAGTATGTACAGAAGACACTTAAGTCAGAAGGACATAGTGCAAAGGTGCATAGTGCAAGATGCTGGCTGCTATATTTACATGAGGTACAGCGGATGCTTGGAGGGGAGGAGTTCAAACAGGTTGTGACCAGGGTCTGATGGGTCTGCAGTGATTCTACCTGCCCGTTCCCTGACTCTGGACATGTGTAAGTCCTGAATGGAGGGCAGGTCAGCATCAATGGCTTTTTCTGCAGTCCTGACTGTTGTAATCTCTTCTTGTCCTGCTTGGTGGCCAAACCAAACAGTGATGGACATGCAGAGAATGACATGCACTCTTTTTCAGTTGCAGTGGAGTCCTGGCTAACATACAGCTTGCTTTCTTCAGAATGCCCTGTCTATACGTACAGTATGTCAGTCTAACTGAGCAACCAAAATCTAAAAAGAAAAGAAATATTTAAGCCAACAACTTAAATTGATAAGTAAATTTACACACACATTACATGGCTTGAAATTAACAGGTATGCTTTGTGAAGTACCTATCCCAAAATTGTCATTAGGTCACTGTGGGCAATGGTAGCTTAATGGTTAGGGAAGTGCACTTTTAATTTAAAGATTGCAGGTTCAAATCCCAGACCAGCAAAACACCACTGAGGTACCCTGAGCAAGGTACCGCCCCCAAGCACTGCTCCCCGGGTGCTGAATTAGCTGCCCCCTGCTGTGTCACATATGGGTTGAATGCATTTTGTTGTGGTGTGTCAACAATGACAATCACTAAATTCTGAGATGGCTTGCTTGACCCAGCTATAATTTAATTTGCTTTTGCATTATAGGTACCTGTTTAAGTCCCTGCCTCCATGACAAGAATAAAAATTTTCATGTCAAAACAAGAAAGGGAGCTAAGAATTCATGGGCTAGTATCCATAAAACCTTCCAGGTTTCTGCACCCACACCTGAGGCCAGCTCACCCTGTAGGCGACTGTAGGGCAGGGATGGGGAACCTGATCCATGGAGAGCCGGTACGGGTTTTTGGGAAGACCTCTCAATCAGCCAATAACAGCGGGTCCCCCAGGACTGGAGTTGAGAACCACTGCTTTATTATTGGCTGATTGAGAGGCCATCCCAAAAACCCATACCGGCCCTCCATGGATCAGGTTCCCCACCACTGGTTTAGGGCATTATTTGATTAGGGCACACAGAACAGCAAGCGAGAAAAAATCAGAATACCTGTGGTTGCATTTAATAAAGTTTTATATTTACACTAGTGCTGATATTTCATTACTTTTCCTGTTAAAGACACTTCCTGGTTCATTAGCAGCCAGACACCCTGCACTACTTAGATGTTTTCAATGAGTCAACTAACAATCTCTTTTTTTCTGCTGCTCTGGGGGTGGCAATCCTCAGAATCTCACCTGGGGTGCGAGACCACCCAGGACTGGCCTTGAACTGGTCAGAAATTATGCTACCTCTGAAAGGTCTGACTGATTTCTTCCTCAGTACAGCCCCTAACTTCTCAAAATTCTTTAGTGTATTCATACTTAAGACAAGACCATCAACTGAGCTCCACAACAAAATTTCACTTCTCATCCCCTGGATAAAGTAAAACTCATTAAAATAAGTTATCGATTTGGCTTTAACCTATTTCTCCTTCCAACATAAATGTTTATGTGACGGGAATGTTAAAATTATTTAGATCCTCACTGAGATTCATCACATAAGACAACAGCTTTTCTTAACACTATTTCCACAAACACCTGAACAGGATCTTGTTATACAGAGAAATTGGCCATTTGTCATACCAGCAACACACTGCTCTATTTCTGAACAGTGGTAAACCATATATATAACCATTCCTTACCGCCACCCCTTAAATAACAGAACCCCCTTAATAAAACACCATTCGTGAGCATCTTTTGATGGGCTGACATCCAGTCCCAGACAAACTCTTTGCTCTGCATTTCCTGGAAAAGGTTGTAGACTTTCCTAATTGCACACTAAATGCATGAATAACCTTTTTGCTTTTCAACCAATGACTCAATAGCCCAGTAAAGTCTATAAAAAACTTGTCATAAGTAGTCATCAATCATATCCAGGGATAGTTTTAAAGATGGTTCCGCATTCAGTAATAGGAGGCATCTAAACACTGACATATCACAGGTATAAAGAATTAAGCTTCCAAAAGTAATGAAATGTACCCAAGTGATTCAATTGAAATCACCAGTTTGACTCCTGTGTTCAGCAGAGTAATCATCAATGTTGGGCTCTTCAGCAAGGTCCATAACCCTAAAGAACTCTCCAGGGTAGCTGACTAGATGGTTGAGCCTGCACTGTCATCCACATTAACATTTGTGTTTAGCAGAAAGTGGGCTCATTCAGGAGAAACCACTCTGCTGATTCTGGGATGCAAACCTGCAACCTTCCTGTCACAGGCACAGTATCATAACCTGCAGTATCACACACCAGAGAAGAGCAAGATGGGACATGCCGATTCTGAACTTCATTGTACTTGCTACCAGTACAATGACAAAAGCATTCAATTCAAGAATTAAACAAAGAGTCAAATTTATTGACTTTTCAAAGTTTAATCCTGCATTTGAGAGGCATCACTTAGGACCAATCAGCAGTAGTGCCGCCCCAATCAGAAGCCTGGGCAGTGGGAGCAGCTGACCAATCCTCAGTGGCAGGCTGGGCACTCCAATCCTCCGCTAGACAAAAAGAGCAGGTCACATGAGATCACGATTTGGCAGAACCTTGAAATACACGTTTTATCATTTAGTGTCATTTCAGTACGCTCAGGGTGATAGCACTGTGTTCAATCGTTTCCAGTCAGAGGAATCTAGAACATACCTGGGAAAACTTCAGTGGTCGTTGGGTTGGCCTTGGCAGGGGCAGCTGGAATAAGAAACGATACATGACAAGCAAGTCTATGAAAGCACTAAATTTTGAAAAGATTCACTATAAGTCAGTACATCTGAATTAGCTCAAATCTTAGGAATTGATTTTTCATGCTTCATATTTTCTAAGCCATGAAAGTACTTTAAGTTCAAGCAACATACCACATACCCCTGACATTAACACAGCATGTCATCCATACCTGCAGGGAACTGCTGGATGGGGACAGAGGGGACTGGCACCCCCTCAGACCAATCAGCAACCTCGGGCTGAGCGAAATCTGCCACGGGGGCGGTCCACTCTCCCTGGAACTCCTCCTTACCCACCGCCTTCTCTGCTGCGGCCTGCTCTTCCTTCTCAATCTGCAACAAACCGGGCAAGTGGTTCGCTTGCACATGCAGGTAAAAATGCACGAGTGCTTAACATGCAGTCTGTGATAATGCAGGCAGCACACCTCCTCAGGGTCTCTGTAGAAGTACAGATCCGGCATGACCTCCCACGGATGCTCCCTGGAGATGGTGCCCCTCATCCTCAGCACCTCCCGAGCCAGCATCCACCACATGAGACCCACAGAGTGATGACCCTACGACATTTTGACGGTTAATACAACATATCCAATCTGGATCCATCAAACATGGCACAAGCAACGGGTGCAACCAAAAATGCTGTGCAGTACATGTAGCAGGGTCCATATACTGCTCCCCCTGAAGCCAACAGAGATTGGTGAGGGGGAAGAGATACCCAGCATGACTTTAGCACACGACCTACACCCGGCACGCCATGGACAGATCAGTGCCGGGCTCTAACAGTGTGCAATTAACATACCGTGCAGTAAAACTTGAATGAAACTCATTGACAGCTCAGCTTAAATGAATTATAGAAACAAGCCGAACCATCTATGAGGAAAAACATGTCAACCAAATTCTTTTTCAGACATTTCACAGACACATGAAACTCATACCTTGTTGTTGCAAGGGATAGCAATGTCCACGTATCTCAGAGGAGAGTCCGTGTTGCACAGGGCAATGGTGGGGATGTTGACGTAGGACGCCTCCGTCAAGGGCTGGTGGTCAGCCCGGGGGTCGGTGACAACCAGGAGGCGGGGCTCCCTGAAGGCAGCCTGGATCTGATTGGTGAAGGTGCCAGGGGTGAAGCGGCCGGCAAAGGTGGTAGCGCCGGTGGCAGAGGCGAACTTCAGCACGGCTCTCTGGGAAAGAGGTCTAGGGGTTAGGTTACAAGTAACAGACAGGTAGTGCAAGAAACAGCTGAATATACACAAACATAACAGGCCTGGAAACACACAAAACTCCAGCGATGATATAATGAATTCAGCACAAGAGCATGGATGGAGCCCAATGTGGCTCAGGTGACTATCAAACCCCAGTCATAGGGACAGGGCCCTCATGGTGTTAGCGAAAACCCAGCCTGCTCACTCTAGCACACGTCCGACACCTGAACGCCAACCACAACGCCAGGGTTTAATAGTGTGCAATATGGCGGACCACTTAATTTTATACAAACCTATACTGTTTAACAAACACTCTGAATTTATAACTTCTTACATGAGAAATGCAAGAAAATCTGACTTAATACCTTAGTATTTACCCAATAAAGCAGTCAAGCATGAGATGTCTAAAGATGAGGATACATATAGGTTTGAGAACCCCCCCCCCCCACACACACACACACACACACGGAAATCCATGACTACTAGGACATCTTCACCCTTAACTGTGACTTGGTTATTGTTTTGCTTATCCGTGTGCATCGCCACAAAACTTCAAAGCCGACCCGCAGCCAGGAGAGTCACCTGTCCAGTATTCCTGGAGGAGATGACGCACACATCAGCCGGGTTCTCGATGGCAACGATGGCACGCGCAGCCAGCAGCAGCTTCTCCCAGGTCTTCTTCAGATTGATAATGTACACACCTGAAATCATGGGTACAAGGCTCTGATGGACTGAGGTCAGCCTAACCTCACACTACAAAATTACTTAATGTGAATCCTTGACAATACAATACATACAAGCTGGCAAAACATGTGACCTATGAATCCCAAATTAAAGCATACCTGCGATATACTTAGGACATTCATCGATAATTGGCCAAAAGTGTGTATTGAGAAATATTTCAAACTGCACAGCCCATACCATCACTTTTCCTTTTGTAGACATACTGCTCCACCTGGAAGTCCAAGTTGGTCCCTCCAAGATGGGTTCCTGCTGCCAGGAACTTCAGCACATCCTCCTCCCTCATCTGCAGTACATCTAGACCTCCGGACATCGCGACCACTTTCCCTGCGCAACGAGTAAAACGGGAGAGCTGGAGGGAGAGAGAGCCGCAGTGGTCCGTTACAATCTGATATTACTCAATACGTAACACGAGAGAAATAAAATATGCTTAGTACTTGTGGCTCAGGTCACTATCAAACCCCAGTCATAGGGACTTGGCCCTCACGGTGTTAGCGAAAACCCGGCCTGTTCGCTCTAGCACACCTCCGACGCCTGCACGTCAAGCTTGGCGACAGGCTTTAAAAGTGTGCATTTCGCCATGGCAATCACTACACATGAGTACTGTGACTTAAATAAGGACTAATGGTGCATCCGTTATTAACCTACAAAGACACAAAAAATCTAATAAAATGGACATACCAAATGAATTGTAAGTTCATCGTTTCTAATTAGGCATGTGTATGATTCACTGTCCAGTTAGCCGAAGACGTGTACGGATATTTCACATTAGATCGCCACATGCGCGGTCTCCTTTTAGCCAAAATGGCTAAGGGCCTCATTTCCCGCTAGTTTAAAAGCAGTTAATTAGGGTGGGTAGAAGTTACTTTGGTGGGAGAACGCAAAACTAACACATAATATGCCCCTGGAGACTGGACCTAGTTCGAACTGTTACGCTCTAAGTCCAAAATACTTAAATATAAAATACTAAACTCACCACGAGACAACGCCGTATGGAGATCAGTACCACACGGGAACGAACAAGAGGCCGAGCACAGGAAGTGACGTTGTTTTATACTGCAGGTTCCACCAATCGCCATTCGCCTTGTTTCGGCTGCAAGAAGGAAGTGCTCCCTCCTACGTCCGTCCATACTCTTGACTGGAGTAAAATGGTGTGTGGGCTACTTGGATGTTAGCAGGCAACACTTTATTTTAAATTATTACCGGCTTAAATTAAATCAAAAGTCGTTACCGATTGCAGATTGTTATAAACGTGATACAGAATACAGGTCTAATTTTACAGATCTCAGAAAAGGGGAAACAGACATTTTTAAATTATGTTTGAATTAAATGACAAGCTTTTTATTCAAAGCGATTTATTCACTAATTAACTTTAAAGTATAATGTTTTATATTTACAATGAACATATACCTTGCTTTCCTTCACACTACACTACCAGAGTGCAAGACGCTAAATAAACTGTATAAAGAAATATACAAATGCAAACAAATTGTTAAAATTTAGGCCCGCTCAGCATATACATGCAGCCCCACATTGGCTTGGGCGATCGGACAGTTCCACCTTCATGTTGAGTCACGGTGCGAAGCATATTTACACAACTAGCTGACCCACTTACAATCGCCAGATGTCGCCACAACCTGTCGTTTTGACGCGAATTAAAAAAGGGTGCTTGAACAACACTCCTATTTCGTGACAAACAACTTGAAAGTCTTACTTTGAAATTATTTTAAATTAATTCAGCTCTAATAGGTTTTTCACAGCTTGACAAAAGGAGCAAACAGGTCTAAATTTATGAGATGTACATTACTTTTAATTCAATCTGCCTATGAGTTTTGCGTTGTGCTGTAACTGAAAAATGAGATGCCTTGGAATTCTGATTAAAAATCCCTTTTATTTTCTATTGCTCTTAACTTAAAATAACTAAGGAAGTGGTGACCTTCGTTACTCGCTCGTTGCCCGATTCTAACCATGCGGGGTTTTTTTTATTCTAGAATCCCTAGAATTGCCTCTGTGTCTGAGTTTTGTTCTATTTTACATTTCTGCGTGTTTCTGAACAGCTGCTTTATCTCTGTCACGCAGCTTCAGCTCACAGACGATAAAGCCTGCGTGTCACGCGGCTCGCGAAGATCACGAGTCTAGCGCGTCGAGGATTAAAGTTAGCGGAGCATTGACCTACAAATTCATTCCTCCCAGACGATTTTCATAAAAATGAAAATTACCATCTGAGAATACTAATTCTGGGTATTTTGTGAAATTACCATAAACTGACACACGTAACTAAGTCGTACCACAATGGACGGGTATGCAAAAATGCAAACGTTTTGTTTACCCCCAAAAATGACCGCTGATGTTTCTGCTACATCTACCCCTGTGTATTATTGTTTTCCTCTGTCAGATATAAATGAGAAACTCACCCCCTGGATTTAGAATATACATATAATGCTAATAGTACACGATATTAAAAAAAAACAATGCTGTACACGATTTTATAAAAGGATCGTTTATTCAGTTAAAACAGGCACATCACCTGTCCGAGGGAAGATGTGCAGGCACAAACATACAGAAAACTATAAACAGTACCTACTAAGAAAATAAGAATCCTTACTATACCCTCTCAATAAGGTAAACGGGCAAACAGACAGTCCTAACGCACAGAAATGCATCTGGGGCAAAGTCTAGTACGGCACGACTTCCCAGCTTCCCATGCAATGGAACTTCAGCCGTCTCTGGTTGTAATGCAGTGAATTCGCTTTTAAAGTGCATCTGCAGACAGTTTCCTGCTAGTTGTCTTTCTTGTGACTTCAGACTGCATGGATTTACAGAGCAGAACTCCAGGTATGTACTATGCAAAGCCTGCAGTACACATTAGACCATATACCACAGTGCTACATTGTATGAAATGACTGCCGGTAGGGCTACAGGCAGGGCGTGTAAACAGGAGTGACGTCACCATGTCAGTGAGAAGAACTAGTCTCATAAATCAGTCTTTAGCTATAGTGCAACATAACACTGCAGTCACTCCCATTTAAAGAACAATAATTGCTATTTTTGATCTTGCAGGGAATTCTTCACTTTAAGAAGTACCATACCATCACCCCTCACTGCAGTCCAGCACAAAGCAGTGGACTTTGATTGTCTGCGCTTGAGTCAGTCCGTCCATCGCCGTGTAACTGCTATAACCCAGCAGTCCAAGGGCTCATCACGTTGTAGTTCCTGCAGCTTCAAGCCTCGCTCATGGCAAAGACACCATATTACTTGGCAAGTAGGTCATTTACGTTTACAGGGGCCGGTTGAGTCCTTAGCATGAGTACTTCAGAGTGTCAGTCAGCAGCTTTGCTAGTCTCACGTAACAGAGGTTTTATATCAGTTTGGGAATGTGAGCCGTGTTAAATAGCTTTACAAGAAGTTGGTCACAAGGAAGCACACAAACATACCTCTTCTGCTCCTACCACTCTCCACAATCACACAACTCTCGGTGTTCTCTTAATTATAAAATATTATTATTATTACTACTATGTTTTACAATGCACCCCACATTTCCTTGGATACGCGCACACTGCTGCTCACTTCTGCCACTGCACTGCATACAGTTACACGTTTAATTCCCGCCACGCACCGACGCCCATGCAGCCCTCTCCTTCAGGATTTCAGACCCATCCGGGCCATCAGCTGCTCATACACAGTCCAGGCCATGGCAGCCATCAGTGTTCTTCTCAGGGACCGGGGCACGGCCCCCCGGAAAAACCCACCAAGCCCCTGCTCCTAAGAGGTGGGGGCACAAGGGAGGAAATGGAATAAAATGGATTATGGATTAGCAGCTTTGAAGGAACACACAGCTATGTCGGCGAGGCTGTAACAGAGTCGTGAAGAATCAGGTTTTAGCACAGAGCCATTCACAGCAGTGACAGCGTGTGGCGGGCAGTCACAGAGCCATTCACAGCAGTGACAGCGTGTGGCGGGCAGTCACAGAGCCATTCACAGCAGTGACAGCGTGTGGCGGGCAGTCACAGAGCCATTCACAGCAGTGACAGCGTGTGGCGGGCAGACTTACTGTGTAAATGAAGTGCACAGCGTCCCTGGTCTTCTTGTACAGGTGAGGACTCACTTGGAGGTGCGTCTTGACCACGTCCGCGGGCTGCGTCACCAGGGAGGCCATGATGCCCGCTAGCACCCCGCAGCCGAAGTTGACCAGGGGCACGTAGGGTGAGGAGCTGACCTCTGACAAAACCCGAGACAAGATATGATCGGTCAAAGTGGAATGAACAGGCTGTAAAACACACCATGACAGCACAAGCCACACCATTTATTAACTAAATGTCTCATCATGATAAATATAGCTAGTATTATTGGAATCACACTTTTCTTTAATCAATACCACCTTGTTGACCTGTACAGCCCATGAGACAGACCAGCGCACTCACCCTGGGGCAGAGACTTCTTGGCTTGGCTGTAGAACATGACATAGATGCCAGAAAAGGGGGCGTCTCTGAGCAGGGTGGCAGTCAGACCGGAAAATAGGGCCCTGGGCCCCTCCACCTCACACACGCTGCGCAGGGCCCCAAACACACTCGCGTAGTTGTACTGGCCACTCTGCAAGGTCAAATAATGGTTCTCAGACACGATGCAACATCCACTGACCCCCCCAGGTAGGAGGTACAAGCTGAGCTGAGGGCCCATTTCCTCAGGTAAGGAAACAGTCTCTGCACAGGGTGATTTCATCATGGCAGACCAACAGAAGCTTTGGAAATTCCAGCACAATCACTCAGAGATAATCGCACTATACCGTTTATCCACTGTTTACCTGCAGAGTCATTACTGTGCAATATCCAGTACTTATTGTTCAGTGTTTATTGTCCAGTTGTATGAAATGAGAATAAATTTCGTTCCACATATTGAAATGATAAAGTGATTTGATTTGTATCAGGATCCCCATAACTTTGGTCGACCACTGAGAAGACATTTTTGCAGTGTCACTTTGCATACATGTGCTGATGGCCCTGCGCCCGGCAGTCTCTTCCCCCACTCTCCCACCGACCTTCCCCTGATGCCAACGGCAGTATGCCAGGCAGTCCTCACCTCGAAGCGCGCCTTTATGACGGTGACGGGCAGCATGCAGACTCCCGCCACGGCCCTGGCGCTGGCGCCCAGCAGCACTGCTTCGCCGGCGTTAGGGGCGCGCTCCGGGAAGAAGTGCTGCTTCAGTGAGTAGAAGGTGCTAAAGTAGATGCCCACTCCGGGTATGCAGCGCACAAATGACTGCGAGCGGGAGGGGAGACACAAAAAGACAGCGTGAGAGATCCAAAAGGTACCGACGGGGTTTCCGGGACAGACCCCCCACCCCAAACAAGACAGCTCCTTTCATCAAGATTTGGGATTAACGTCACAGTGGCAGCAAACTAAACAGGAATGTTTGCAAAACCAATTAAGCTGGAAGCAAAGATCGATCTGGAGAAACTGTGTGCTTAGTTAGTCCAGCTCTGACCTTAATCAGCTCTGAAACTGCTCCAAACATTTTTACTTACGTGGGTAAAGGGTTGAGCAACTTTTAAATATATTTTAGCAGTTGTGTGCCTTAGTGTGTGCATTCCGTAACAACAATACATAGTATTTGGAAGTGAAGAGGACATTAACAGCACTCTCATAATAGATCATTGTCTGCTCTCACCGGCGAGACCCCCTTCCAGAGCCCCAGCAGTTTCTCTGTACGAACGACATTCAGAAACACCGTCACCATCCCCACCTTCGGTGAGCTGAGGGCCAGAGAGAAGGGACACGTTACACACACAGACATCAAGGCTCAGATCACACCGGCGTATGTGACGGACAGTAGTGCATCAGCCATTTTGGCTTGCACTGTGCCCCTGTTTGCTGACCCCGGAGAAGTCAATGCATAGTCCAGCGCAAAGTTCTAGGTCCACATGTCACACGAGATCCGGAGGAACCTCACCCCGGGAGCATGTTGTTCTGCAGGGTCTGCAGCCGGGTCTTCACTAGGTCCAGAGGCTGGAACAGCAGGGTGGAGCAGGTGCCGCTCAGAGAGCCGCACATGAAGGCTTTGAGCGCTGGGTGGGCCTGGAGGAGAGGCCGAGGCAGGGTTAGGACCTCACACTATTTGTGCATGGTATCTCCAAGCAGGTGGCGGTCGTGTGTGTTCAACGGGCTACACCGTGGAAGATAACATACGGGGACATGAGATGGTTAATTCGCATGGAACGAAAGCAAAGAGCAACTGCTCACTCTGGATGTACAGCACCTGCCAATGAATATACAGACATGTAACAATAAAACTCCAGTAACACAAAAAGACAAATGCAAGCTATTTACAGGCATTCACTTTCTCACAAGACCACGACAACCCTGAACACGACGGTGATGCATACAGACAGTCTACAGAGACGTCATGAGGGCAGCGTCGGGTTTACGTTCCTATCACCGCTGCTTACATCCTCCACTAAAACTCGATCGCGGCGCGCGTCACAAACATGCCGAAATGGGTAGGAGCCAGACACAGCCAGATGCACTGGGACGGGACCCAGAAAGGGACTGATGCCCCGCTTTGTGAAAAGCTGTGAACTGGGTAACAAGCGTACACATCACAGTGCAAGAGACCACGTCTAAGGCCATCAGACTCCATCATGAAATGCGCAGACCTACGCCCATTCTGCCCCACCTTCCCTGCAACGCTTGCCGATTTGCCTTTTGAGTCCCGCTTCTCTCGCAGTTCTCCCATTTTATTCTCTTCCCTACACGCTGAATCAACAGCCTACTAAAGAGTAAGCCTCCATCTTTTCCCAGCTCTCTCTCGCTCATTCTCCCTCCTTCTAAATCTCTCTTCCCCCCTCTCTCCCATTCACACACAATGGCTCTCTCTCTCAACCCTCTCTCCCTACCCATGGCTACTTAATCCATGTACTTCTGGTTCTCTCTCTCTCTCTCTCACACACACACACAGACTTGCCCCAGTTCTCCCCCTTGCATCCCCCCCGCCCATGACAACTCTCCTTTTTAAAATGCCGCGAGTCATGCGGTGTCTGCGTGTCCCTGTGCAAGGCAATTCGCCACGAACCTTAAGGAACGTCACGGAAAACGTACTACAATTCATATGACAACATTAATCAGTTAAAAAAATATTTTTCTCCCTCTTTGAAGCAAGCCTTTCCGCACTAAGGTCACACATAATTATGCCCACCAAAAGATAAGGAATTAAACAACTAATTAGTTTGGGTAATTCAGTAACCACACATATGTAATTTGTAGTGAAAAGGATACTACAATATAATATACACTATAAGAACAATAACATACTGTAATTGCAACAACTCCTCAAACTGTGCGATGTTGATAGGTTTCATATCTCTTTCCTGCAGTGTTGTGCAAGACGTGGCTGCCTTTCCAGTACTGTCCGCAAGCTCCTCTGTCACTCTCAGCCCATCTTTTCAACCCACCTCCACCCTGACCTTTCACTTGATGCCAAAGCAGCAGCCAATGACCGGCGGCTTCCGGCCTCAGACAAGCCAATGACCGGCAAAGCTACGGTACTCAGACAGAACCAACTTTTACTCAGTGCTGTCCAGATGCATCCTGTGGTTCCCTTGGCAGACAACTGCTGATGTGGCCTCTGACTTCTCGGGGCCGGGGAGAATCAGACAAAGCTTCCTCACACACACTCATCAAAATCTATCATCACTGGCAAAGACGACCTGCAGTACTTATCACCCACTGGAATGATCCAGAGGGCTCGTTTCTGGTGGGTCAACACTTGCCCTTGAGAGTCAAAGTACAAACCAGAGCAGCGACCACTGGCAGAAGTCAGGCAAGGCACCCAGCTGCTCTGTTATTCCAATAAAAACACTATAAAATGCACTGTACAGGACACTTGAACACTAGCAGGGTCTGTATATGAAACTGCACAATGACTACACGAGAACTACACAATGACTAAAAACAGCACTTTTAAAGGTCAAATTACATTGCACTGTGCGCAGCTCTGCTTTGAGACTGCGGGTTAAACCGAGGAAATGGGACCTGAAGCTTACTCACCAACATCAGCTCCATGTTGCCCAGGAAAGAGGTTTCGGTGTCCTTCAAAGCCGGCGTACTCCGGTGTATCATGTAGTCTCTCCTCGGAGATCCTATCTCTATAAGCACAGATGCCAGTGGGAGTCACTGACCGACCCCATCCAGCACCACCGGATGCAGGGCTGAAATCTTACAATCTTACGCTACTGTTAACCAATCGGTTACTTATTAGGCCACGTTGTTCTGTATCTGGGCATTTGACCGCTTCTCCAAACATTTAAACTTTGTGCAGAAAAAACATTTCGACCATCAGCTATGACGTACAAACATAAAAAAAACACACCTCTGCGAAAACGGCTGCGGTTCGGGTTTACATGCCGGTCGAAATCGTTCGACTGGGGAAACCGGCCTCAGCGCATTAGACAACTTGATTTAATTGGACTGGCGGATAAAACTAAAGCGGTTATAAGGCGTGCTGTCAGGTACCTTCCCTTACCGGAGTGCCACAGGCTACGGTCCGACCGCGTGAGTGCGCCGGGGGGCGAGCATGGTGTCACGTGCCAGCACTGGGGACCACCGCGCCGCCGACTTCGGGGAAGGCTGCAGTGTATTTACTGTAAATGCCCAGCGACGCGTCTTCGTTCACAGGCTGTCTGCGCTCCTGGTTGTTTCTTAGTTCGATGGTGTCGTGAGGGAAGCCGTAGCTATCTTCAGACCTTACCAGCAACAAAGTAAACCGCCTCAGACTGCAACTTATTTAGGCACATCAATGCACAAAAAACGCCGTATTCTGTATAAAGCGCACTGCTTCCAGAGACCGGCGCCTCCTCCCGACTCAGATATAAAGCTGCTTCAGCGTTTCGGATCTCAATCTAACCATAGGCCTAAGAAACTTATTTTTATTAGAGTAAAAGGCCGCAAATCATTCCACGTCTTCAGCCGTGTTTCGGTAACGTGTCGGACGTTCACTGTCCCTCAGCGTCGCCTTCACCGCCCTCCGGTAACCTCTGTGTTACGTAAAATCCGCGGCGGAGAGGAACCTGGCTGTCAGGCTCACTGCGCAGAAACTCCTCCTCCGTCCCCGGGTGCACCAGCCATCCTACCAGCCGGTCGTTAACCGGTTCTAGCCTGTTCCCACTGCAGTTATCGTAGAAGGTGGAGTAACTACCTTTTTGTGCCCATGGTTCCATCTAGTGGTGGAGTACGGTTACTGCACGCCGCACCAAATTAACTCTGGTTTAGCCTCGAGCCTAGTAAAATGTTACCTGGATGACTTTGCGTAATCTATAGCTTATTAAAAATTCCATGAATATGCATGATTCTTACGCAGTATGGAATTTGATTTGCGTTTTCCCCAAGCCTGGATAAGTGTGGAAAAATTTTGGAAATATTTTAAATATATCTAGATTACAACAAATTGGCCTGTGTTTTAAAAAAAAAAACAAAAAAAAAAAAACACAAATTTAACATTTTTCCATGAACATGAATTAGCTGTCAGCTCCAGAATGTGCAAAAAGCATACATTCAAGAGCAACATCTCAAACCAAGGAGTGGGGTGTGCTATTATCTCCAGCAAGAAGTATTGGATAGTTCCTGGTCGCCCTGTATCAACACTCAAGTGGGAAGTGCAAGTTTTTGCCTTTCAGATCACCTTGTGGATCCTAGCATAGACAAGATGGGCCACGGCCCAGGGCAGCATCTTCTGGGGGTGCACCAACTTAAAACTGCCAGTGTCAACCCCCAGTTGACTACCTTTGCCATCTCCACCCCTGTACAGTCTGGAAAGGTATTTTAAAATGGGAAGTGTAGGTATCGTTATTCCAGTGGTGTTACAATATAATGGATACAACTTGGAATAAGCATAGAGTGCGAGACAATGTACAAAGAAAGTTTTATTTAATTGAAGTGACTTTGTGGTGACAGGGAAGACAAAGTTTGCGTTACAAGAGAGTTGTGGTGCTTGTAGTGGTACAAATCTTACTTTGATAAAGCAATTCATCCCAATACAAAACATCACAAGATAAAATGAGTAGCCCAAAGCAGATAAGTTCCAATTCCTCCATTCGCATAAAGGGGGGGGGGGAAAAAAAGTACAAGGATGAGATGCTGTAACATTAAGAAACTAGAGTATAAAAATCTCAAAAAGGCCAAGTTGGAGGTCTTTCATATGCTCCTCTACAAAGTATAGGTCACAGTGTTAGCTCGATTTGTAGCTTTCACAGGAGAACCCAAACACCCGGAACATACCTAGATGCACGTGAAGGGAAGAGTGAAATATTTAGCCTTCTCAGCACAATAGGCTAAAATAACTTATCCTAGTTAACAAAACTGGTGTACAAGTGGAAAGTTGGCATAAGAGCATTCCTAACCATAAGGTAATCGGACTGCACAGAATGATGCACCCAGACAAACGTCACCAAAATTCCTCAAACCACCACACTGCAACCTTCAGTGCAGTTGTGTGCATTGTAAAAGGCAGATATCTTAAATGCAACACCATTGATAAACATTACAACCTAGTATAGATTAACTGCTTAGTAAAATTAGTGACATTGCCCTTTTCATGCCGTTAAGCACAGCAAACCAATACCTCCACTGCATACTACAGTACTGCTTTGGCTATTTCAGTCGACAATTTGCCTTTTCAAAAAATCCAGTAGAAAAATAGATAAGTGGCAAGTATATTCCAGTTTATGCGTTGTTACAAAAATAATTCACATTCAAGAAGATATTCAAGTTTGAGAAGGGAAAGAAGTTTGGCCCATATTTTTGCATTTGTGATGTGTCCTTAATTTAAACAAGGCAGACAAGACCCTCTTTACACATCTATCACGTGACCATGTGGCATAATTTCTCCATGTAAGCATTTGTGTGAGTATGTAATGCACTCAAGTGCAGGTGTTTACCATAACATTAATAAAGTTTGACATGATTAATACTTGCTACGACCACCTCCCATTCCATTCCTGTGCACATATGGATATGCATATGGGGGGGGGGCGCACTTGTGCGCCATTGGACGCTGCAGTCGGGTCACTCCAGCTTGTGTTCGGAGGCGTCACCCTTAGCGTCTCCGTCTTCATCGCTCTCCATCCCTGGGCGGTTGACGTTACGACGCGTAGAGAAGGGGACATTACCACATCTGCGGATTAACAAGTCACGTGGGTCATTGTCATTCAGGTTGTACAGCTGCGGCCATTCCTTCTTTATAAGGAGCAACAGCTGATCTAACAGCAACCAGGGAAGGAAAAAAAAAACTGCACATATGTAAAAAATTAAAAAACCCTTTTAAAATCTGTTGTGTTTGTAACTACTTGCAAGTTAACTCTTAGCTTCATTGTTACGCAGATCAGTCCATATTACACAGTATTTTTCTTTTAACAAACTTTCTTTTGACCCTATTGCTACATATTGTATTCCTATCCTATTTTGTTTGACATTTGATTAAAAATAGATTTGTAGACTCATTCCTTCGACGCTTTTTTGATCTGTACCTTATTTGTGTATTTTCTACAGCTTTGAGCATTGAGTTGCATTTCATGTATGAAAAGTGCTACATGAAGAGAGATTAAATGGCGCCGACTCCTTGGCCACCCTGAAGCAGCACGCTCACCTCAGTTTGCTCTTCAGCGAGCTGACTTCGCGGTTCATGGCGTCGGCGGACTCTGTGGCGTCCTCCAGCTCCCGCTGCAGTTTCCGGCGGGAGACGTTGGCGCGGGAGGTCTCCTCCTCCGCCTCCTCCAGCTGCCTCTTCAGCTGCTTCATCCGGACGTTGAGCTTCTCCGCCTGCGGAGGCGGAGCTTATGTTACCGCTCGTGAAACTGGTCATGCTACAAGCTAATGCATGCGATGCAGGTGGAAATTCTACCATCCCAGTTTTAATGCTCTTAAAAGTCAAGATTTCTACCAAAAAGGGAAGAAACACAGCCATCTGTACCAAGTTTAAAAAATTGCTACTCGTGAGACTTTAATGCCTAAAAACTGACCAGCTAATATTGCGTCGTTCTGCTCACTGAAGTTTAAATTCTAGTTGGACTCTGACCAGGCCTTTAAGCTCCAGTCCTGCCGTACTAAGCGCGTTATGAAGTCACCCATCTGCAGCACCACTGGACGTGGAAGCCAACCTGGTCTTTGTACTGCTCCGTGTTGCGTCTCTCATCCTCGACCTGCATGGTCACCTCCTTCATCTTCTTCTCGACACGTCGCACCATCTTGGAGGCCTGCTGTCTCTCCCTGCAGGAGCGGAGAACAGGGAGTTAGCCGCAGCCATGAGAGTTCACCGTGAGATTCACATGAGAATGCGTCAAAGGGCGGAGGAGGAGGAGGAGACCGACACCCACCGGGTCTCGACGTCCAGCTGCTCCTCCAGCTGAGCGATCTTGGCCTCCAGGGCAGTGACGCTGGCCTTGTATTTGCTCTTGACGGTCCCCTCCAGGTCCTGTAGCTTCTGTTTCAGGTCCTTGTTCTGCCGATCCAGCTGTGAGCGAGCCCCTTCCAGCTGCTGACTAGCACTGCGTTCAGCCGTCAGCTCTATGGTGAGCTGGTCAGCCTGAAAGAGCAGGGAGGTGGGACTTAAACACTAGGTCTCATGTCACTGGATGATGCTAGTTTTGTACATGGTAAGATGTGCTTGACAACCCAAATTATGATGTAAAAACCACATCTCATAGTAATGAGAAACAGATTCTGACCTTGTCAGTGTTCCCTTGTAGAATCATACATTTTGTAACAATGATCTCCGACTAACTATGATTTGAGGATTTACTGTATTATTGTGCAAACTGATTGGTTGTGATTAATTATTTATTAGTTTGACTGATTCATTACAAGTGCGCTATAGGTTACTGGTCTGTAGAGGGAGCTCTTCTTGGGCCCAGATCACCAAAGAGTGTGAGGGGTCAAAGCCTTCCTGTTCCATTTCACTCCTGATCCTAGTTTATGGTTCTGCTACCTTGATTGGCTAATATTTAGAACTAACTGGAGCATGGTGTTAGAGTATCATGCAAGTACTCTGTTCCAGTTAAGGTTACTTGCATCTGCAAACATCTATTGTGCGTGTCTTTTGGGTGGTTAATGTAACTGGTTGGGCGTATGATGGCACATATTGGACATGATGATCAAGGATATACAGTCATATACAGTCTGGGAAAATCAGTGGAGCCGTCTGGTGGGACTCCATGCCTCTCCGCTTTAGTCCCCTTGTTACTTTGCCTTCTGATGGTCTGTCAACCATCTGACTATAGACTTCCTGAGAAGTGTCTTGCACACCCCCCCCCCCAAGCACCTGCAGCATGGCACGTTTGAGGCGGTCATTCAGCATCTCCATGTTGCTCTGCTCCTCCTCCAGCTCCTCCTCTAACTGGGTGATGCGAGCTTCCAGTCGGCGTCGCTCATCCGACGTAAGGGAGCTGAGAGAGTGGGGCAGGCGGGAGGGGCGGCGTCAGAATACCAAACCTCGAAAAGCTCAACCAGTCCGCAGCACACTTTCACACCAGCAGTCACACGGCGGCGGCTGTCTGGACCGTTGTACCTCTTGGAGGAAAGGTTGGCCAGCTCGTCCTGCAGCTCGTCCCTCTCCTGCTGGGCTTGCTTTTTCATCCTCTCTGCGGCAGCAAGCTCCTGGAGATGGAAGGGAGAGAACAAGGTAGCGTGTCATCAGGGCAAGTCTAATCAAGTAAGGATATGGAGCAAGGGAAAAAAAAAAAAAAGCTGATGAGGGGGGGGCTACTAAAAGGGGGGGGGGGGCAACTGAGAGGAGGGGGCCAACAAACCTCCTGGAGGTGAATTGCATTGGTTTCCAAAGACTTGATTTTGCTCTCGTTTTCCTTGGCCTGGGCCAAAATGTCTTCGCGGGACAGGCGGGACTCATCCAGCTCCCTCAGCACGTCTTTCATCTGGGCCTGGGGTATGACAGGTCAAGGGGGGTGGGGGGGGGGTTGCCTTTAAATCATTTGCATTTGCGATTTTTTTGCTACAGGTTTCAGGTGAACGGCTTTCACCAGAACGCTGTGCCAACAGACAAAGGGCGTTCATAGGATGAAGGCAAGAATTTGTACCTGCAGCTTCTTCAGCTGTTTGAGGGCATCTTCCCGACCTTTGTTGGCCATGTCAATCTGAGACTCAAGGTCTCTCAGGTCAGCCTCCAGCTTCTTGCGGGCAGCCATTGCCACAGTGCGCTGCTTCTTCTCATCTTCTAGCTCCACCTCCATCTCCCGCACCTGGAAGTCAAAGCGAAACGTCGACGCACGTCACGAAATTCCGCCATCCGTCGGGAAGTGACGTCAGACGGAGCACGATCTTAGCGTACCTGTTTAAGCAGCTGTCTCTTCTTCTCCTCGCCCATCTCATCCCTACCCTGCAGGTCTCTCTCAAACTGGGCTTTCATGGCCTGCATGTTGACCTCCAGCCTCAGCTTGGCATCCTCAGTGGCCTGCAGCTCATCCTCCAGTTCTTCCAGTTGGGTTTTCATCTCCTCCAGCTGCTGTTCCATGCCTCGCTTTGATTTCTCCAGTTCGTGGACCTACAAACAGGACCGAAAAGGGGTCAGAGTCATGTGACCAAATCCAACAAGAACGGACTACAAACATGAATACTGGAGTGTGAATCTCCTAGATGTAATTCAGAGGCCACGGACAAACTGAAAACGTGTTCTTACACTCTTGCCGACGTCATCTTTAGATGACACCAGATCCTCCATCTCCACTTTGAGCTGTTTGTTGGCCCGTTCCAGCTCGTTTTTGAATTCCACCATAGTCTCAAGCTCTCGGTTCAGTGCCAGTGCCTTGGTCTCTTTTTCCCTCGCCTCCGCTTCAGCCCGATCTCGTTCCTCTGCGTACCGACTGGAGACAGACTTCTCCTCGGCCAGCATCTACAAAGAAAAAGCAGCTCAAGGCACAGATCCGGTAGAGTTTCTATTGCTTTATTTACAGCCATACATCCAGTTTTACTGTTGCATGCATTTTCCTGAAAGTACCTTTGACTAATGCAACCAAGTTTATGGGACAATTTTAACTTTGACCATCATTATGACATTGCCATTAAATTTGTTTCCATGGTTACAGCAGTGCATCCCCACCCAGTTTCGTTTACCTGGTCAAATTTCTTCTGCTTTTTCTCCAGGTTCTGCACAGTCTGCCTCAGGTGATCCTGGTCTACCATCAGATCATCCAGCTCCTGCTGCAGCCGGGTCTTCGTCTTGTCTAGCTTGTCGAAGGTGGCACACTTCTCCTCTAGCTGCTGGTTCACGGCCTCCAAGTCCCTCTGGAACCTCCGCTTACCCTCCTCCGCACTCTCCAGGGACGATGCTTCCTGCTCCACCTTTTTCTTCATCTCTGCCATCTGCAGGACGTGTTGAGATGGGAAACAATGTCAATGGATATCTGCAGGTGTGGTGATGGAGCACCTACAAGTCGTATTTAACATTAGTATTCACATGAACAGTAGACTTGTACCCAAACACCGGGGGACAAATGCTTAAAGTTATTTAAACATATCCGAAGCTTCTGAAACAGGACAATAGCAGATAGAAACACGAGGCACACTATATTCAAATAAAAATGACAGAAACTAGCCAAGAGGAATTAGGAAGAAGGCAATGAGGGATACCTGTGTCTGCAAGGTGAGAAGCTGTTTCTCCAGATTTTTCTTGCTCTCCTCTTCTTCCTCCATCTGCTCTTTCAAGCTATTCTGCTCATCCTCCATCTGCCGAAGACGCGTGGACACGGCAAGCTTCTGCCGCGTTTCCTCCTGGAGCAGCTCCTACAAGGGGGGGGGGTCAATAAAGCATAGTTAGGACTTTCTGCCTGAACGCCGCTCAAAATAACCGACCCCGATGCAGCTGTTAGTGCTGGGGCTGAAGTGAACGCAGCGCTGCCTTAGCGCGGTCAGACCTGCTCAGATCATTACCTGCGTGTCCTGCAGCTGGGACTCGACAGCCGAGCAATCCTTGGATGCTTTGATCGACTTGCTCTCAGCATTGCTGAGCAGGCTGTTCACGTTGTCCAGCTCTGCCTGTGGAACAATAGGGTTTATAAACGTTACATTGTAACCTCCCCCCCCGCCATAAGCCACGCAGAGGCTTTCCCACATTACACCCCACGAAGTCGTACCTGGACCTTGGTGACCTTCTCTGAAAGCTCCACCCGGTGTTTCTCACTCTCCGCGTGCTTCACCTGTAGCTCCTGCAGCTGGGTCTCCACCTTCTTCCTGCGGTGCTCCGAGTCGGTCTTGCCCTGCATCAGGGTCTTCAGCTCGATTGCCAGCTCGTTGCGCTCGCTGTCCAGAGCCTGCTTGGCCTTCTCCACAGACACCTTGTTCTGTGGAAAACGTGCAATGATTCCCATGTCCATCAATGCACCCGTAAGACTGGCTTCACCTAGGGTCTTGGCTGATGCAGAGGTGCTCTTTGGTCACTTAAGCCAACGTCTAAACTCGTGTAGTACAAGTAGACAACGTCAAAGGTCGTACGTTTGGTGTCAGTGGTCCTGTATATCTAACCACGACGGCTCCATCAAAATCCATCTGTCCCCGATCATGCCCCCGGTGAAGTTACCCTCTTGGCTTGCTCCAATTGCTCATTCAGCTCGTCGAACGCCTGACCGTGCTTCTGCCGCATCTCAGCCACCTGTTGCTCGTGCACTTTGGCCTCGTCCTCCAGGGTCTTCTTCAGATGCGTGACCTCCGACTCACGCTTAGCTCTGTGAAATAGAAATAAACACAGGCGAGTGAGAATTCACAGAAAACATCATAACCAAATGTCAGATGAGGAGCTGTCATGCATGGTCTTTAAGTCAGATTAGTACCCTTTAGTTAATATCAGAAGTGTTAGACTATAGCATGATTAAATAGAAAGTACAGATGCTCCTCACTTTACAATTGTTTGACTTGCGATATTTCAACATTACGATGTTTCGATAGCAATGCAGTAGTCGAACCTTGAAATTTTGCTCTGCTCCTGGGCAGGTAATGTGCCATATGATCGTTTCTACTAATGCTGGGTGATCCTAGCATCCATGCAGTCATGCTTCCAGTCGCCGTAGCGATCGCAAGCTTAAACATCTCATACAGCGTTTCACATATTGTACTGTGTTTTTCCCCTCCTGTGATTTGTCATATGGTATTATCATATTCATATTCCATTAACGATGTTTTCAATTTATGTTGGATTGAATTGGAATGTAACCCAATTGCAAATTGTGCAGCATCTGTAGCACTGGGTCTACAGTGTGATGTCACAGCTGGCTAACAAGCATTGTTTTTTTCTCCTTCCTGGTATGTGACTAGGTAGTCTGTTACCGGAGCTCCTGCTGGGCAGCTGTGGAGTCCAGAGTGTCCTCCAGCTCCGTCTTGAGGGCTTCTAGCTCCTCGCTCAGGTCCCTGCGGTTCTTCTCAGCTTTGCTGCGGGCCACCCTCTCCAATTCCAGGTCCTCTTGGAGCTCAGAGAGCTGAGCTTCCAGCTCTCGGATCTTCTTCTGGGCCTGATTTTTTAGGGCCGCCTCCTCTTCCATCCTGGTGCAACCGGAAAACAGGTATGTCACTATTGCAGGAAGGTCTCATTCTGGCCAAAATGGGATCTCTGGTGTGGACAAGCATGGCCACCTCACCGGCTCAGTGCTGCCTGCAACTCCTCTTCCTTCTTCGCCAGTTGAGCACGAAGCTCAGCAATCTGAGCCTGCAGGTCAGCGATCTGGTCATGCAGCTCAGTGCTATCACCCTCCAGCTTGCGTCTGTTCTTCTCCAGCTCCTGCCGCAGCTTCTCCTCCCTGCGCAGGCGGTCTGAGAGGGTGGACATCAGGCGAGACAGTGTTTGGAGGGAGCAGCAAGGATGTGACGAGTAGCACATGGAGGAGACAGCTGGAGGTTTAGAGCACAGAACACAGGGGTACGGAGGTACCTTCAAGGTCTGTGATCATGGCCTCGTGCTTGTTCTTGAGTTTCTGTAGGCTCTTGGACTTCTCCTCTTCTTCAGCCAGATTTATGGTGAACTCAGAGATTCTATCCTCTAGTAGTTTTTTCTCCTGCAAAGGGAACAATTCAGATCAACACTGGCTGCTTTTCCTTGCACGCGACGGGTGGGATTATGCTGTGTAGCACTGGAATGGACAGTACTGGTAAATGGTAAATCTGCTAACTGGGTCTGATGTAACTGACAGCAATCGCCAGGGAAAAGGATTTAAGATTTATTCCCACTACTTATACAGCCATAATCAGCAAATAACTAAAATTTGAAGCACTTCACGGTTCATGTGAAGAGAACTGCAAATCCCCGCGCCGCGTACAGACCTTGCCGAGTTTATTGTTATGATCATCCAGCACCATGACATCTTCCTCCAGCTTCTTGACCTTGGCCTCCACAGTGACCTTCTCCACCTGCAGCTTCTGTCTGGCTGCCTCCTCCTCATCCAGCTGCTGTTCCAGGTCCTGCGGAGAGAAGTGCGCATGTTCATCTCCCCGAAACGTTACACCTCACGGGAAAAACACACGGAGCTGTATTCAGCTTCTACACATTCAAATGGACAAAATACAGACAGCCTGTATGCTTTAAGGGCCTGATCACTTCCTCCAATAATCAATCATCCTTGAGAGATGTTTTACCGTGATGTTTTGCTGCATCTTCCTCTTCTCATTCTGCAGATGAGCGGCCCGTTCCTCCTCCTCCTCCACTCGGGCCTCCAGGTCATGCAGGATCTCCTCCAGCTCCTGCTTCTTGGTGGCCAAGCGCGCTCGCATCTCCTCAGCCTCGGCGAAAAGCTCAATCTCCGCCTGCAGCTGCTCCTGCAGGGCCACCTTCTCCGCATTCAACTGTGGGGGGGGCAGGCAAGGAGGGCCAAAGAAAATAAATTTAGGGACTACGTAAACCTATTCAAAATGTCAGAATCACCAGAAGGTCATGGGTTTGAATCCCACGGCCGGCAGGGTACTCGTATCAGCATTGGCCCTTAACCCCCAATTGCTTCAGGGACCCCGCTAACCATCTCCGATATGCACTTAGACACTTATTCAAAGTGATTGTATAAGTAAATAAAATATAAAATGTCGATGGGGCTCCATTCTGGTCATACCTGTGAATTTTTGACTTCAGACTCCTGCAGCTGCTCCTCCACCTGCTGCTGTCTCTCCTTCACCTTGACCAGCTCATCATCCTTGGCCTGCATCTCCTCCTCCTGCCGGCTCACCTGCAGCAGTGGTTTCACCTGGGCAAGGGAACGTGAACCCAGTGAAGCTCACGCACTGAAGTACAGTCTGCAGTGCGCACACAGGTACTCCCGACCTTGCCAGTGCGCAGGTACACGGGAGGACCCAGGTCGCGAGACCCACTGTACGGTTTAGGACAATCCTCATTGGGTTCTACCTTTGTGAAGAGCCTCCACCACTGCCAGTTTCTGAGCTTCAGGTACGCAGCACAGTTTCTCTGGATCACCTTCATGGCAGTCAGCTGCTGCTGTCTCTTGGCAAATGCTCTGCAGGGGGGGGGGGATTCAACCAAGGACAGAGAAGTGAGCAGAGTTTTACAGAAGCGATTTCCCACTTACTGGTGCACGATAGCGGAAGCGCACGGCGTACTTGCGAGCGATGAAACCTCGGCAGCAGGCCTGGAAGCCGATGATGACGTCGGTGATCTTCATATCCCTCTCCTCCTCCAGATGAGCCAGCACTCCGGCCCTGAAGAACACTTTGCTCTGGCCAATCCGGTACAGGTTGGAGTCCAGCTCCAGGGCTTTGATCTGGGGATGGGCGAGCGGAATACAAAAAAAGGTTCCCAAAATTTTGTACAATTTGCTTAAAATGGCTGTCATTTTAATGTAATTCCAAAAAAAAAAAAAGCTATTGAAGTCAACATATTAAGCTAATATAGGTTTTATAAATAAGTATGCCTAGTACAATGTTAAAAAAAATTCAAGCTGGTAAATTTCAAATGCAACAAGAAATAAAACATCTTTCGTGTTTTAGATGACTGGTGGTTTAGAGTAGCAGCGATTTCATAAAGCAGCGCGTGTTTAAAAAGGCGCGAAGTCTTACCATGAGCACACAGGCTTGCTTGCCATCCATGAAACCCTTAGGGATAGCATTGGGAGTCAAGATCTCATACCTGTGGAAGGAGGGGATCATTTTCACTGTCAGGAGGACTAAAGTGAGATGGGGGGGGGGGAATGCACCACAACAAGTGCACACAGCAGAGAAGAGAGAAGTCGGCGCACCTCTGCCTGAACTCCTGGAAGACTATCCTATTGGGGAAGCCCTGTCGGCAGATACGGATTCCCTCCAGAACACCATTGCATCTTAGCTGGTCCAGAACCAGGTGGGGCTCCAGTTTACCTGCCTGAACAGGGAACATAACAGCAGATATAGTACTTCCCAGCCTAAACTAGAGAGCTCTTCTAAATCAAAAACTACCTACTCAAACAAGCCAAAAAATACACATCTGTAGTCGTAATTCCAAACCTCTGAAAGACTAAGACGACTTAGGACTAAACTACACATTACTTGGAAATTAGAAAAATATTTCATGTTTCTACCCTTCACAGCAGCTAATGTGTAGGATCTATAGTAACTGTAGGATCTGTACCTTCTTCTCATGGTTAGGAATGATGCAGCGGACGAAGTTGGGGTTGGTGTTCCTCAGTGTTGTCATCAGCTTGGTGAGGGACTCCTTGTACAGCTGGCCCACCGTGCGGAACATGCCTTTACGCGTCTTCATGGCCCCCGGTGTCGAGTCGGACATCCCGGCCACTTTGTCCAGACCCACGATACGATCCACTGAGGAGACACCGGATTTATGACATCATGGGGGGTGTGGAGTATAAACCACATGACCAGTCCCTTAATCTTCAACAAGAACTACAGCGACTCACGGCTACTGCCTCAATCCTAACAAGTAGAATTAGGGAGTGGATTCCCAGCATGCATTTCTCCATAACTTGACAAGATGACAAAATGGAGAACGAAAGAGCAAGTGTCTGCACCACAAGCCAGCATCTTAAACATGGAGTCATTTTGTTTGCAGTGAAAGTCTTAATTACTTTCAATTCTTAGCAGTGCTAGTACTGGTTAATTATGCATGTATGCTGAAAAAAGGACAAAAATTAAAGTCTCCTGTGGAGCAATATAAAATAGCTAGATTCGTTCCAAATGCAGCTGGTGTCTGTCTAGGCTACACACGTTCTTGCAGGTGATCTGTACTAGCAGGTCATGACTGGGAGGGATTTTCATTTTGCCAGCGTCGCGGTTTGCAGTTTCAAGTTTATGCGTGCTCTGTGGCATCGTATAGCCTGATTTTTTTTCCTTAAAAGGCAGTCTGCACTTCTACCACGAGGATGTCAACGGTGCGTGTCAGGATGAACGCATTTCGGCGTGTAACGTGTCGTGCAGCGTTCAGTTGCGATAAACATCACAATGTGCCAAAGAAAGACAGGGCAATGAGTCAAGGTGTGCAATGAACGGGGAGAGGTCAACGAATGACCCGGAGGATGCACAGTAAGCAGTCAGACTGATGAATCACTAAAGGAGTGAGGTGCAGAAAACGTCGCCTGGGTCTACCTAGAAGCTAGTGATGAGAATAGGCTGTCCCTTAGAGAACCAGGGGCGTGCGAGGAACAGACAAAGATGGAGACAAAGGGGGAGGGGCCAGTGAGGGGAGGGGGAGGAGCATAGGGGCCAAAAAAATAAAATTAAAAAGCAGGAAAAAAAAAAAAAAAAAAAAAAGTATAAATAATTCAGTATATCTAACATTTCCCCAAGTACACAATATCCTTCTGCACTCTCATGTCCTGACCCAGTTCCCCCTCACAGCTAAATGTGCTCTCCTCCAATAGCTATTCTCCACCACTAGTGACTCGCCACCACCCCCCAAGATGGATGAGAGTACCGTTTTCTACCAGCCCACTCAGGAGTCGCATTTCATAGGCAGGACATGATATAAAGCGCAGCCCGTCTGAGGAGGTCACAGCAAACTGCATCTGCTCCATCCTCACCGTCTCTCCACAGCTCAGAGACAAACTTGTCAGAGGACTGGTTGAGAAGCGTGGCCACGTTGTCATTCAGAGGATCCATATTCTTCATCAGCCAAGCATCAGCCTTATAATCCACCTACAAGGGAAGAGTCACATTTAGAATCTAACTAACATGTTTGTATCGAACCAACGTCAGGTTCTTAGTATGTAAAACCACCAGGCAAAGGCTCACCTTCCCAGCATAGTGCATGACGCAGAAATCGGCATCATCTTTCAGCTTCTTGGGCTTCTGAAATTTCGGATGGGTGCCCTGTTCCTGCACCAGCTTATCTACAAAGCTCTTGTCTGTCGCTTTGGGGAACCAACACTCCTCATCTAGCAGGGCCAAGATACCTGGTGGATTTGCCTGGAGGAGATTAAATAAGCAGGGGAAAGTGTCAGTATTTTGTCAGAGCAACTAAACAAAAAAACAAAAAAAAACAAATGCACACCGGCTTCTCGATGAGGTCGATGCAGGGCTGCAGGTCCAGGCCGAAGTCGATGAAGCTCCACTCGATGCCTTCCCTCTGGTACTCCTCCTGCTCCAAGATGAACATGGTGTGGTTGAACAGCTGCTGCAGCTTCTCGTTGGTGTAGTTGATGCACAGCTGCTCGAAGGAGTTCAGCTGCAGAGAAGAACATAGATCAGTTGTATTATGCCGACAGATGAGATGGACACTTGGGCTGCACCATTCATGAATTTAAGCACAATACACATGCAAACTAACTGATCCTCCCTTTACCTCAAATATCTCAAAGCCGGCGATGTCCAGAATGCCAATGAAGGAGGCTCCCTGGCGCTTGGTCTTATCCAGAGCCTTGTTAATGCGCAGAACCAACCAGCGAAACATGCGCTCGTACGTGGCTTTGGCCAGAGCCTCCACGGCGAACTCGGCCTGCTCCTGGGTCTGCGCCTTCTGCACATAGTCCCGGCCCACTTTGATTCGCGGGGACAGGATGGCTCGTGTGAAGTCAGTCACATTTATACCCATCAGGTGACACACTTTCTGCGCAGCTGAGAAGACAGGAAAGGCAAGTCAGAGCAAAACAGTGTCCTGGGGGGGAATCCGTACGCCTTAGGCTGTGGTGACACATGCAGGTGAACGCTCTCTTCATAGGTATTCTGAGATCATAGAGCATCAGGTTTGCCATACCCGTGTTGTCAGGCAGGGAGGCCTGGTCCGACTGGCGCTCCTTCTTGAAAGTCATGTTCCCCAGCTGGAGAACTGCAGACACCACCTTCAACAGACCTAGGATTGGCGGTAACAGGACATGCATTACATTTCACCTTTATATACACAAGGATAGAGGCTTGGGGGTCACACTGCATGCCTTTACACCAGAATCAGATCAACGGGAACAGCATCATTACCAATCTGCTCGTCTTCAGGAATGCTCATGATTTTCATGGCCTCCATGGTTTCCAAGAAGAGGTCCTTGTCCTGCTGCCCAGGAATGGTCACATTGCCGTTTGACAGGAAGCGGTAGTTGCTATAGTTCTCCAGACACAGTTCCGCTGATCGAACATTTGATAGTCAGATACAGATATTTGACATACAGCACAGAGCAAGACCTTACAAGTCTATTACACAACCAACTCAGATGATATACGGAACATTAATATCTGAAAGTCAGCATACAACTGGTTTAACAGCACTCGTAAAATACCTCGTCAAGACAATTAGTTACCTGTCGACCGCAGTCAGTTAAGCCAGGTATCAGAAAATACAAAGTGGCATCCAGATTTGTCGATAAGGACTTAAGATATTGGCATCACCTTAAAAAGTCTAGGCCACTTTGGTCCGACTTCAGTATCCAACAATTTCAAACACTAAAAACTGTTTACATTTGTACTTGAGACTTACAGCGCAGTTTGTCTCCAGCCCCTGTCAACATGTAGTAGAAGATGTGAAACGCGCGCTCATTCTTGGCCTGACGAACGGCACGAGACTTTTCAAGAAGGTCTGACAAGCAGCAAGTTAAGGAAAGATACTGATAGTCAAAACAATCCATCAGGTTCCTACAAGCCAGCGATTGTGTATAGGGCCAAATGCTGAACTGAAAAGAGGATGCTATTGTATAAAAGCTGACAGCAATGTACATTGTTTTCACAATGATTTACCGAAGGATACAGGTCTCTATGTTGGCACCCACAATATATCCGTTGACATCAAAGTTGATTCTGATGAACTTCCCCTGTGACGGACACAGACATTGAGATGGATTTTCCAGCATGAGAGAATGCATCTTCCACACATTTGACTTAAATCGTTCTTACGAATCGGGACGAGTTGTCATTCTTGACCGTCTTGGCATTGCCAAAGGCCTCCAGGATTGGATTGGCCTGCAGCAGCTGCCTCTCCAGCTCGCCCTGTTAAAATCAGCACGCAACACAGACAATTAAAAAGGAGCCAATGAGCACGCAGACTACAGTAGTTTTGGTCCTGACCATGCTCTTAATCAGTTCAAGCATGTCAACAGAAATCAATATACAGATTAAAAGTTGCAAAGGAGATGCAACTTATTTTATAGTATATACACTAAATGGCCTAAGACCAAGTAGACGGACGCATTGCAAGCAGAAGTGTCCACTTTTCTCCATACAGGGGAAGGACTAAAGGCAACCTTACACACGCGTACATGCACAGCAAACATACCCCAGGAGCCTCAACACAAAAGCAAGCTGAAGACCACGCACTTTTCACACAAGAGCCGGTCAGGTGAAGTAATAGAACAGGTATTCACACACTAGACTTCAAATACTGAATGAATTTACATTAAAATCACACAAACTACAGAGAATTCTGTACATCTGATAAGATCTTGTTCTCGTCCATAATTGCCACACCAGTCGTTTGCCATGTAAATGTAGTAACACTTCTGCTACAGCACCACCCTGTCACATAACCCAATGCATCACTCTAAGCCCACACCAGCAGTAGAGGGCAGCAGAGAGGGGGAGGAAGGACAGATGCACGGAGCGAGTCTCAGCTGCACAAGAGGAAGTCCGGGGATCGTCGGTAACTCACATGTGACAGGACTGTGCTGCTCTAAAAATGAGAGGAAATGGGAACACTTACAACCTCAACAGCACGGTATGACAGACCAAAACCAAGATGCATCAACTGACTTATATGTAAATGTAGATGCATGCACGCACACACACGCACCCTTGCATATGCATTTTAGTGGGGACTTCCTTTTGACTTAAGACGCATTCTCTCAATTCTAGAGGGAATCTGATAAATCTGTGGTGTTTTTGAAGCAAAAGCAAAAAAAAAAAAAAAAAAAAAAGGTTTTCAACAAGAACTTTTCAGATCTTTGTCCCCACAAATATGCTCCAACCTCCCCCTACACAGCTTCGGTCTGAGTGTCATCATTGAGGGAAGAATTAGAAAAGAGGATTCGGCTTTTAAGCGGAAGAGACTAACTCAGAGGTGGGACAGCAACTGAATATTCACAGCACAAAAACGGAAGGAAAATGCAACAGAAAATGTTTCACAAAAAAAAAAAAGATTAAAAAAAAAAAAAAAAGAATATTAGAATATTATTAGAATATGTTAAGGTCCAGGTACATCATGGGAACAATTTATGTAGCAAAAGATAAAAAAAAAAAAAAAAAAAAAAAAAAAAAGAGTGCAGGAGAGAAGTAAAACCTGAGAAAGCGAAAGTAAATGTGAAGTAGGAAGAGGTTGCAGATTAAGACGGTGAGACTCACCGGGTCCTTTTTGGTCTTGAAGGACGAGGCCACATGAGCCAGATACTGAATCACCTTCTTCGTGTTTTCAGTCTTCCCTGCTCCAGATTCCCCTCTTAGATGAAAATGCAAAATATTTTTTTTTATTTATTTTTTTAATTACCAACACACACACACTACAGTACTAGATGCAAGAAAGCCGTCCAACAGAAACTCAGTCTCATTTCTATAAGCTCAGTCAGCCTAACATGCCAAGTCCTGCTGGGGGCCGACTACTCACGTGCACAGAATGGACTGGTCCTCACGGTCTAGTAGAAAGAAAAAGGAGGTAACAGGATTCATACTGGGCACTGAGCAGAGAGTCACTATTAGCTACACCTAGCTAATAGAGCTGAAGTCACTTTTTGCCTCCAAAACCACTTCAGAAAGGTAAGAAGCCATGTTCAGAGAAGCCATCAGTTTTACAGAGCTGTTAGTTTGCTCATTCTCCTCTGATTAATATGGCGTTTTGGTCTCAGAAATGCCAGGGCCTGAATGTTTTGTTCATCACATAATTCTCTATAAACTCTAGACACTTATGAATGAAAAGTGGTTAGCCATTTCTGAGATGCATGAACCACCACCTGACACCAACAGTAAAGTTAATAGTGTAAAATCGCAAATATTAGCTACTCTAATGGTTAGTTTATCGGTAAGCGAACCTCTCGACCCCATCAGCATGAGGTACAAGATCAGTTGAAGCAACATGACGCAGAAGACTGTGCTTCAGCAAGCAGGGGTACCCAATAAACAGGTCACCGTATCAATGTGGGTACAGGAAACCATGCACAGTACAGGAAACTGTTTACACAGTAATCCCACAGAGAAACCTTAACTGCACGGCAGTATCTACAGTAAAGATGACCCGTGAAACATTTTTTCAGTAAATAGCTTAAGCACACAAGATCGTGTGGCTTTCAGAAAAGTATTTTTATAATGCTTTACTGTCCCAGCAGGAATTACGGGTTACAATGTATGCATTATCAAGATCTAGTGTAATAGGTAAATAATGAGGAGGTTAGTTGTATCTAGATTAAATGAATGTCTTCTATGAACATATGGACCTACATCAAGATAACAATGGCATCTGGACATGACCCAATAGGGGTATTTCACAAGCTGCACTTCCCAGTGTCTGGCAGAGGGAGAAAGAATGAGAAATCCCTTATGGAGGTCTGCTACAGGTCTGAACATGTCATGACAGGAGCCTTACCCTGCATCATGCTGCGATAGGCCGAGTCGGTGATGGCGTAGATGTGGGGGGGTATCTCATGCCTTTTCTTGCCCTTGTACATCTCGACTATCTCCTCAGAGTAGATGGGCAGGTTCTTGTAGGGGTTGATCACCACACAAAAGAGTCCAGAGTAGGTCTGCAAGAGCAGGGTACTGGCATGGATCGCTTGCGTAGACATTCAACATTAAGAGCTACTCACAGACCAGTGGTTGGGGGGGAGGTAATCATTAATTAGGCTGAAGTTTTTCTGCCTGGGTACTCAACCAAAAGAGAACAAAAGCCATCGATTAGAAACCATTCAACTTCTCCAGAATTTCTCAGAGCCCTGGTGAGAAGTTTGTGCTGAAGACCCTTCAGTCCGACGCGTGCCATCCACGTTTACTAGAGATAACGTAACATGGACTCAAACAGCAGAATCTCCCAGGAACTTCCTGCCTGGTGATGACCAAAAGCCAAGGAGCCGTGCCCAACTTGGACGTAACAGGAAAAAAAATGGTATTCATTTCTGGCACAAACCATTAGCTATGTTTACCGCCTACCACCTACAGCTGTGTCCCCCCCTCCCCCGAGCCTGATGGAAAGATCTGGAGTAACACGATCTCCTTCCCATCTCCAAAATGCTTCCTTTTCCGTCCCAATCAGTCCCCATTTCCTCCCATTGTACTTTGTCTTGCGCTCCATCTACTACCAGTCACTTTCCCATATCCACACTTAACCTTCTAAACCAACCATCCAACTCAACAATGGCAGCCAGCTGCGTTTACATGATCTGGACAAACTTCAGCTGGCTAAGCAGTTCAGGTAATTACCCAGTCATTCATACATTATTCCCCATGATCTATTTGTTCCAAGTTCTCCAAAATGATTAGAGAATTTAAACACTATATAAAATATGTACAGTATTGAATTACCATCTATACCATTTTCAAGATACTTCAATATAGTCACACCATACAATTCTACCTGATTTTCCTTATGGATTTAGTGAAGTAATTTAAAGTTCAACAGTCAGTCCCCTAGTGAGTTTTAAAGATGCAAAATAATGGCCACAGTTCTAGCCGCTTAGAGACACTATCATGTCATTTTCCCTCTCAATCCTGTGAATTGAAATGCCTGTTAAACAGGCAGTACTGGGACTCACATAGATAAGGCCGGAGTAGTATCTCTCCTTCAGGTTGTGAAGCACGGAGGCCTCGTTCAGGCAGGTCAGCTCCGCCATGTCCTCCACCTTGCTGAACTTGGGTGGGTTCATCTTCTGGATGTCGTCCTTGTTGACCTTGATCTTCTTCCCGGAGTCGACCAGCTCGACCAGGCACTCGTCGCCGCTCTCCTCCTTCAGGGAGCCCGCCTCGAAGCCCAAACGCTCGGAGGGGACCCATATCAGCTTCTTGGAGGCCCAATCAGCTTGCGCCAAGGGATTGTTGATCAGGTTGCGGTCCACGTAGAGGAACTTGTCTGCGTCTGTCATGGTTGCTGCAGAGTGTTTGACAATATTCAATAAACGCTCAAAAAAAAAAGACAATTTAGGAAATCAAATGAGTATTACCAAAATAAATTTATTTATTTTAATTTCAGCTTTGTTCAACACACACGTAATTCCTATCACATAATCTTTTCAAAAGAGGTCCTTTGGCATGTTTCAAGATGACAAAAATGCAACAAAGCAGTTTCTCTTACAAAGCATGAGCTCCCTTAAATTAAACAATGCCAAGTTATTTGGGTGGCGTTAGGGGCCGTTTGCTCAGCACCACAGCCACATCCATGATGCTGCGTCATGCGCGTGTCTGACCCTCTTAAAGATCAGAGCGCAGATGCTGCTCAAGTGAATTCGCCTTTAAAGCCCATGTGGTAGCAGCACGGCGTAGTCATGAATGTTTAAAAGCCTTTTCTACACCGCCTGACATTACTTCCTTCTCATTAGTCACCATTTTGCAATTGGATTCTACACTGCATCCAACATCAGAGTGGACATTAATAGATCAGGAGGGTTTTTTTCCCCTAGCAAAACATGTTTAAACACCAAAAATAAAAAGTAAAAAAACATTTTAAAAGTTGTTTCAACAAAATTGCTATTACACATTTCCATTATTTTCTAAAGTTTCCTGGTAACGATTTGAGTAGGGCCAATCCCAAGCAGGACAGGACAAGACTGGTGTCCACTCTGGACAGGATGTACATCAGCATTAGTCCATCATCAGGAAACGCTCACATACACAGATAATGAGATGCCAGTTAAGCCAATGACATGCCTTTGGACTGTGGGAGAAAACCAGCGCATGCAGATGTACAGGATTCAAATCAGGATCTCCCTCCCCACCTCCAGCCCGCCCCGATAGAAAAGGCACCCTCTAGCATGGCTCTCAACTATCACGGTTTCCTCAATCTCAGGGGAAGAGCCACACCTAAAGGCTCACACTGCATGTGCATATTAGTACAAGGGGAGAATAGCAAGATAAACTACTGCATCAAGTATGTGCACATTTCGCACTGAAATGTGTGAAAAAGGTCAGACTGGAGTAATAAGCTGCTCTTTGAACATGTCCAAACAGACACGCGTGCCGGCAGAATGCGTTACACACCACACCCTGAAGACCAGCATTCCTCCTCTCAGAAAATCCCCAAACTCTGCCGTTTGAGGAAACTGGCATGCAAAATCAAATATTTTCAAACTGTACAACTATTTTCCCATTTCAGTAAAACAGGTAAAATAAAATCTTGTTGCGCAACAGGATTCCAAATTTATGGCACAGTACATTTACCACAGCAAGAAAACCCAGCTTTCAATCTAGCTATAAATATCAATGAATTCAAACATGCTTAACGACCTGCTGGACTATTAATATATGAATCTGTTTAAACAGCTAGTGTTAAAAAAAAAAATACAAACACGCACAAGAAATGTCATCACAGCAGGAAATCGCTGTCTTAACGGAATTTAACCAGCAAGACTGATCTCATCCCTCAGCACTTCAAAAAAAAAAAAGCTTATTTGAAAATAATAATAACACCCCCTGCACTCTCCCCCCCAGGGACCGACATGATGTGAAGCCCACTGCCTTCCCTCCAACTCCCTCCTGTAACCTCTACTACTTTACCTGATTCAGGCAAACGGACCAGATGCACATCCAAGCACACAGAACAGTCGCTGACAGCAGAAGCGTCAAAATAAGCCTGCACTTCTCCTTTTATGGTGCTTTCATCACAGCCCACGGAAGGAGGCCCCTATCAGACACCCGGGGCGGAAGCGGGCACGCCAAAGAGCCCGTACACACAGCTGTAAACGTCTGTCAGTGGGGAGGGGTTATTTACAGAGCAGCGTGCACCATCAGGATTGCGACCAGGGGGGGTCTCAGGGTACAGGCCAGCCCCTCCCACGGCCTTCAACCTTGTGTAGGACGTTGGGTCTAGAGCAGGGGTGTCAAACATACGGCCCGCGGGCCGAATACGGCCCACTATGGTGTCCAATACGGCCCGCGGGATGATTTGAACAATAGTATTAAATATCAAATCTTTTTTATTATCCTCATTATTATTAGTAGTAGTAGTATTAAAAAGGAATGAGTGTTAATGAACAGTTCCTGAGGACTTGTTAAATGCAGTTTTACAGAATATAGTGCATTTGTTGTAATTTGATGCACTATGATTAAAAAAAAATAATAATAAATTCGGCCCGCACATGGTCACATTTTCTTCTCATCCGGCCCTCACCCTAAAATGAGTTTGACACCCCTGGTCTAGAGGCATCAGATACACTCAGAGGAAGGGAGAGGGTTAGGGGCAAAAGCATCCCGAAGGGATGTCATCTGCTTCCTCTGTAAATTGATTATGGGCTTAGACACCTCTACTCTGATCAAAGGAAAGCAGAGGGGGAGAAAACGATGGGGGGGGGGGGGGGAAAAAAAAAGGGGATAATTAAAGACTTAATATTACAAAACAAAAACTAGGGGGGGGGGGGTGGGGGGGGGGGGGGAGAAAAAAAAAAGGATTAAAAAAAAAATTAAAATTGCCATTTCACATCACTATTGGATTTGAATTTGAGAAGAAAATGTTCAATAGGTTACTATGGCAGGAGAACATCCAGACAACAGCTTCCACCAATTTCATCTTAAAGAACAATAAGTGATCACGAAGTTTGATAACGGCATGAAGGGAACTAAAAATCGAGATGCTTCTTCCTAAAAACGCTCGCATTTACACTGTATCCAAATCATCTGTCACACATATGCGCATAATCTCCCATGAAGAGCACGCGAGAATGTGGTTATCCAGTTTGGCAACTTCCTGCCTGTTTCAACAGAGGTCAAGTGTGTTTTTTTCTGCGACTACTGATTAGCGACCGCGATCATCCGTCTCAAAGAAAAGGAAGATGTGGTGGAGAAAGTAAGAAAAAAACTACTGGCAGCATGATCGGTGCAACTCGGTGCAAAGGCAGTCTCACTACCAAGAGATCGACTGCCCAACTTGGTTAAGCGAACAGGTTTAAAACGCTGCCTAACATAACTTAAACTTACGAAACTTAGTTACAAACGAGATGAATCCATACGGCAGGAGCAAACAGTTTTTAAAGACATGGTTGGCCATACTTCCACAGATGTGCAGAGAGCGTGTTTCTAGGTGCTTGCAGAGCAGGCAGAATCAGACCCATTTAAAACTGGACTGAACTCATTTGCATTGATGCCGCTAAAGGATCGCGTTTAGAAACACGATGATAACGGGCATCGCCTCGGTTATATGAACAACGGTTCATTACGCGATGACTCAGTAAACCGCTTAGCGGGCCTATACTGTGTGGTTAGGCGCCACACAACTGCATTAGAAACCGAGGCTCTTCTCTTTAATGCCATAACACACGTTTTTATGCACTAGCTCTGTTCCAACAAACAGTGCTGATTGTCGGTGGACGTTTTGCAGGGGTCAGCTATCTGGAGTAAGATATAAAATTCGAGACAAATCTGCACACGCATGTATGTAAGTTTTATTACCTTGTCTGTAGGTTTATAATAGAATAATATAGGTTTGTCATGAGAGTCAGAAAGCCTGACGCGTGAGATGGCAACCCTGGTTTTGGAATAACACATGTATAGCATTACCGGTTTAAAAACCCCTTTCAGTATCCCCGTCCATAGTTACGTAAAAACTTCGGTCTTTTATTACACTTTTTTTCCCTATCCTAGATCGAATGAGCTATTGAGGCCATATGCATTGCGCAAACTGCTGGTTCAAGTGTCCCAAAACCTTTGGAGTTAAAAATGTGTATTCCTTAGAGACACCAACACTTAGTAGGTTTGTACAACAGCCGGGCACACAAAGGGTAGGCTACCCCACACAAGCAGGATATGCAATACATCCTCAGAGGGTTTTCTTGGTTAACGCAAGGTTATTAATTAATAAACTAACCTTAACTTAACCCATTTTAGTGTGTTACATACAAACACACAGTGAGGCACAATAAATGACGGCCACCGCTTTACCTGTGGGAAATCCCCAAAGGAGTTTGAGGAAGTCACCTACAATATACTAAATGAAAAACAGACGTGAATGGATATTTATTTCGTTAATATTAACAGTACATAATCAGAATATCCCCTTAAAGCACAAGTACCATTACATGCACCCAAGCTGGCCGCTCTTCTGTTCCCGCACCGACATGCACCAACCTACTGCTTCCAGTTTTTTTTTTTTTTAAGTATTATTTGAGTTGCATTTAACACCATTAATAACTCCGAACCCTGGTTTAACGGGCTTAATCAGGTGTACCTGCCGGCAAACAGACACTTAAATCAATGGACATAAAATTACACAATCATAGGGCGCAGACTTCGACATTCAGATTGGTTGTCCTTAAGGTAATATTTCTCCATGAGGGACCAGGTTCAGGTAGATACACGAAGCAGCAGTGGAAGGTGCGAGAGGGACATGCGGCAAGTACAAACTCACCTGCAGTTAAATCGCAGACGCTGTGGGGTATAATCGACGGCTGCCTGCGCTACAGCGAATCCCCTCCTGGCTTGAATAAACTAGTCTGCTTCCTGCCTGCACCTCCCTCTCTAGCTCCCCGACAGGCTCTCGCTCCCGTCTTTTCTACTCTTCCTCTCGGAACCGTTCCGCCAATTTCGGCTCTGTCCGGGTGCGGCCGATGGGGCGTGGCCTACATTAATTACGGTCTTATGTGTTGACCAATAGGAGCTAGGAGAGGTGAGTGCTATGGCCAATAAAATCTGAGTACATAATTTCCATAATATGGTAGGGACAGCGCTGTTTACATTGGGAACGATACTTCTCTTTGGCCTAACAAAGTTGTCACAATCGTAACGGATATCAGACTGCTCTCTGTACAATCCATGTAAATTTGCTTCTGGGTTCGGGGAACAATGTAGAATAGCACAGGGAAAAATCGCGGTTGAATAGTGTGTGGATCATGGGCGTTGCTAGACATAAAGCTCTGCTGGGGCACAGGCCCCCCACCCCCCATTACCCATATGATTTGAACGTGAGATTTTACTGGGGCACGGCACATAAATACTGCAGCACGTGGCCCAATAAAAGGGGTCTACCACGCCCATGCTGCAGACTGAAAAAAAGGATGCTTATTGGTGATGAGGGAGGATGTGCAAAGGAATTCAGGACTGTGTCTGTACCTGTAAAATTACTGATTAGTGATTTTCCACAGAAGCAGGCAGACGGTGGGAGGGCAGAGGTGGGGTTCATGGAGAGAGAGGCAATCAGGTATGCATGGGATACTGAGAAAAGCCAATGGATGGAAGACTGCAGGAAAAAAAACACGAGCTAAGGAGAGCTGTGGGGCATTGGCTGGGTGTGGAAGAAGGAAGGTAGTCCAACCAGGGAGACACCTGGAAGAACAGAACTTTCTCTCTGTCAATGACCTCTGTCTAGGCTGGATTTTTTTTGTAGTTTTCAATGGAAAGCATTGCTTAATTTTCAAGGTACTTATGGAATATTAATGGGTTAAGAGTCAAACAGAACCCACCAGTCTCTGGTACCAGTTGCTGGGTCAAGATAAAAAGATGAACTTCAACATATACATAGACATGTGTTTCCTTTTCAATTGCTCAATGAGTTTAATTTATAATATGGTGAAATATACCAATAGATTGCTGAAACGTCCTGTTTTACATTCAGTAACCAGACTGAGTGAACTTCTATCCGTCTTCTAAATGCTTATCTAGTAGAAGTCTGTGGGAGAAGGCCTGAAGCTTAACCCAGACACCACTGGGCACAAGACAAGGGAACGCGCTAGGTCAACGCTAGGCAATCCCGATCCTGGAGGGCCAGTACTCAGCAGCTTTTCCATCCTACCTGGTCTTTGATGAGCCACACCTGATCTCAGGCAGATAGTAACTCATCAGGTAGGATAGAAAACCTGCTGAGTACCAGCACTCCAGGGTTAGGGCTGCCTACCACTGCCCTAGTTAGTAGGCCAATCCAAAAGATGGTGTCCAAAATGCCAAGTCTACATATTATTAACTACTGTAAACAGCCAAAACAATAAACATGAAAAGCATAATTTTTATAAAAGGATTTCACCGAATCGCTCTCACTTTTTTGAGGTGGATTAGCAAAGGTAACTAAACTTCCATCCAGGGATTTCAAGGTAGCTCTCCAAATCCAATCTTGTATTATATAACAGGGGTTGAATATGGATGGAAGCATTTAATTTAATAACAAATAAAGGATGTTTCAATACATAATAGATTCTTCTACCACTGCTGTACCATTTAAGGTGGACAGACTACTGAGGAATGCTTTCAGAAACAGGTTTAATTAACTTGTATAATGGGTATCGTGGTGTGAGGATTTCTACAGTTTTCAAGCTTGGCAGTGATCAACTGCATGATTCCTTATATGGTAGCAGCGTGTTTGAGGGCAGTATTGTACTTTGACAGTAGCCCAAAGGTATAAAATTCTACAGACAGCCTCTCTATGAAACTGGTTGTGTGGTTTAAGTTGTGACATGAAGGATGAATACATGAATGTGTCAAACAAAAGAGAGGGTCTGTCATAAATGCCCCTTTCCCCAAATGCTTTTACACAGATAGCTGAAGGAACTAGAGTAACATTTAAGTTTAAGTTATATTAATGAATAAAAGACAACATTAGAATTGTGAAGGTTTTGGGTCTCATGCTTATAAAAGAAAAGCCATTACATAACTTCCAAAAATACCAGAAGTCAGCGATGTTTAGAGTAATTTGGGTTAAAAAAATTTAAACCAGCTGACAGAATGACTACAGGGAAAGTAGGATGATGGCTCTTTAAGGCCCACACAGGGGGGCTGTGGAGCCTTTATTGTGGCAAAGCCTGGCTTGTTCTGGCAAGTCCAGCACACAGATCCAACGAGGCGGTGAGATTGCGCATCTGAGTAGTGCACAGGCATCCCAGGCAGATGGGGTGGACAGTGTCCCCAGCTCAGATTTCACAGGTGTCAGGACATGTTGAATGCTTTGCAGAAGCCATGGAGAAGAATGTAAACTGTTCCTCTTCATATACAAATGAAAATACCTCTCCACACACAAATATTTTCTCTTCTGTCCTCTTGCCACTTACACACACACACATGCACTGAACACTAAAAACACACGTAGAAGACCACTAAAGGTTTATCAATTTGAAATATTTTCCATTTATTGAAGGATTTCTAAACGAACCTGAAATAAATCCTAAATAAGACATATTCTGGTAACAGACAGAAAACTGTGATGAAAAAAACTGACTTCCCACACACATCGCTTTGGTCACCTGATAATGTTGTATGAAAGAAATGCTTTGCCAAACAGCACACCAGCTGAGCTCGTTACCAAACATTACTAAAGGGGTGCCCCCTAGTGGCCAATATCAGTACTTGCAGAAAAACTTCACAACTGAATATTACTGAACAGTAGTACCTTTAACCAGCCAATTAACAGCTGAGTGGGGTCCCACCTGTAATAAGAGTACAGTACAGACTGATTTCTGGCTGTGCATTTTTAAATCATCGGTTTTGTCCAAAGCCAAAAAAAGTTGTTTTTCTTAACCATACAAACACTTGTGCTGAGCAGGCAAACTGAACAGGACATAAAACACAGGACTCAGGTGAACTGCAGCATGTCCATACTAAAGAGGGAAGTAAGAGCACAATCTCCACTGAGTGTCAAAAGGGATCAGTTAGAAGCAAAGGAAACAGACTGGGGTTTAGGGGGGTGTTGGGATTTACTGCAGGAAAATCAAGGGTAATCCAACTTTTACTGTCCAATGAGCTTGCCAACAAAGGAGTCCAGTTGAGCTTCATCTTTGATCCCAACAAACTGGTCGACAACATTACCTCCTCTAATGGCGATGACTGTTGGAACTGCTGAAACCTGAAGGGCACAAGAGTCTTTTTTTCAGACATAGAATCATCCCATTTGCTCATAATAACATTTTACTGTGTCTTTGAAACACGAGCACAATGGCTGAAGCGTCTCACTTTTAACCAACGCAAAAATGGCAGCAGTATCTCTCACCCCATATTCGATGGCCAAGTCAGTGTGGTCGTCAATGTCCACCTTTGCCATGGTGACACGGCCCTGCTGCTTCGCGATGGCCTTCTCCAGTCTGGGTCCCAAAATTTTACAAGGACCACACCACCTTCAGCATTTGAACATGGAGTGGTTATGCGAGTACACTCAATCTTTAGCAAGGTCACTCCTACACAGCTAATATAGCGTTATACAGAACAACAAACCCAATGGTTACTGAAAGCACACATTTTTTTATCAGTGTTACTGGAAGAATATGTTGTAGGGATGGTACCGTGGTTCTGTGGGTAGTACTGTAGCCTCACAGCTTCACGGTGAAGGGTTCTGTAACTGTTTCTAAATCACCCATAGTGTGTCTGCCCTCAAATCCTGTGAAGGGTGTCCCCTGCCTTAGCATTAGCAACACTGTGCATAAGGTTCTCAACGGCACAGCTGCATGCTGCACTGCGATATACTGCACACTCACTGCGCATGGAAGTCCACCAGCACAGGGAGGCTGCTGTTGATGACCCTTTCCGTGAAGTCGTCGGCGTCTTGCACGCTGAAGGACTCCTGTCTGCGGCACGTGAGAGACAGGGACCGGGAGAGGAGGAGCGAGGGACCCAGGGAGATCGGTGTGTACGACGGAGGGCAGGCGGTAGGAATCATGAAGCCAGAGCACGGCCGTAAGGCAGACGCTGGACGACGCCTAAGATCCCCGAGGCTGGTGGCGCAGATTCTGCGGGCTATTATCCTGTAAGCCATCTGAGGAGAACAGGGATTAACGATGGCGGCGTAAGCCCAGCGATGAGCTTGGCATTTCAATACTGACACATCCAGCACTTTCACATGGAGACATAAGATATCACAGTGTATAAGACAATGATTCTGAAATGTTTATAAAATGATCATAAGTGCTGTGCTTCCATTGCGCCATGACGAGCACTTAATTTATTACATGAATGAAATCATAATAAATAGGTAAGATCTTTATCTTATTTGACAGGTTTATACATAAACAAACAAATGTAATAGACATACTTAAGTATTACAAATGTAATACTCGTATCTTAAGGCTCCTATACGTACTATTTCGACAATGCATTAGGTTACTATAATCCTAATGAAACAATGTGACACTACATTTTAAAATGATACGTCATATTTTATAACCACGCAAAACACCTTATTAAAATGATCGTAAATTCATGATGGTAATTGATGATTTAGATATTTTTATATGCTGCCAACATAGTAATTGTCACGCAGGGACAGTTAAATAACTAACTAACCGTTCTATGCACTTTAATAACAGGTAGCCATAACCTCCGTTTGACTTTGTCAGTCCCTGTCCCGGAGGGAGCGCCACGATCGCTCGTAATAACAGCGCAAGTAAGGTGCAGTTAACAGACGTGGACGAGCCGCGGTCGCAGGTGTTACCTACGGGCCCGCCTCGTTAGACGCTGACGGACGCCTGTCCCTTACCATGCCGCACGCAGACTGCCGGGTCGCGCTATCGCCAGCGCCGCTAACAGCGGCCCACTTCCGTCAGCGAATTATACAACAGGACGCACCGTAGAAATCGCCGTGACTTTTCTTGTTC